ATCAGCTTTCCTGCTCCTCTGATGCTGCTTGGCCTGCTGTGTTCATCCAGCTCTACACCGTGTTATCTCAAGTGCAGCAGACTGGTTTGACGGTTAGTCTCTCGAATGTTTCAAACTGTGCTTTTACAGGCTATATGTATTAGTGATGCAGGGGTGTGTGTTAGAAATCATCAGTTTGGGATCAACTTCAGTTCTTAATAATCCTGTGCAAATCTAAAAGTCTAGGGATTTCTGACTGTTAGTGAGGTACCACTGCTACATTCATCTGTCTCTGATATGAGCCAGTCAAGAACTGGGCTACCTACGTAAATACTGTGGCTACAAAAGCAGGTCAGAAGCAAGGAATCCTGTGGTGAGCTATACGCTTCCTGACTTTCCAAAACCTGTTCACCATCCACAAGGCACAAGTCAGGAGTGTGATGGAATACTCCCCACTTGCCTGGATGGGTGCAGCTCCAACAACACTCAAGAAGTTTAACACCATTCAGGACAAAGCAGCCCATGTGACTGGCACTATATCCACAACCTTCCACATTGACTTTCTCCATCAACGATGCAGACTAGCAGTGTGTATCATCTACAAGATGCACTACAGGAATTCACCAAGTCTCCTTACGCAGCACCTTCCAGACCCATCAAAAAAGACAAGAGCAGCAGATACATGGGAACGCTAGTTCTCCTCCAAGCCTCCCAACTTGGAAATATATCTCCATTTCTTCAGTGTCACCGTCAAAATCCTGGAACTCCCTTCCTAACAGCATTACAAGTGTCCCTACACCAAATGGACTGCAGTGATTCAAGAAGGCAGCTCATCACCACTTTAAGGTCAGTAATGGTGCTACAGGACTATGGAAGTTACCACCTGATGATCAGCAGGAGATTTCCTTTGCCATGTTTATCCCGATAAGTACCTTCATGGAGTCCAGAGTCAATGTTGAGGACTCCAAGGGCATCTGTCTTATGACTGTATACCACTGAGCCGCCAACTCTGCTGGGTCTGTCCTGCCGATGGGACAGGACGTATTCAGCGACAGTGATGGTGGTGTCTGGGAAATTGTCTATGAGGTATGATTCTGTGAGCATTACTGTGTCAGGCAGTTGTTTAACTGCTCTATGAGCCAGCTCACCATGTTTTGACAGTAGACCCCATACATTAGCCAGGTGGACTTTTGCAGGGTTGGTGGGGCTGTGTAGCTGTTGTTTTTTTCCTGTGCTTAGGTAGATGCCAGGCCGTGTGTCTAGACATTTTGAGATTGTGAGAAGTTCAGATAAATTTCCCTTTTCAAAGTCTTTTCCTTTTTTTTTGTCAATATCGTTTAGCAGTAGTTTCTGAGCTGGAATTACCTGAACGATTTTGGGTATTTTGACAGGTAGACAACAAAATCTTTACAGAGGCTTCTTGCATCTAGTGTGTATACAGTGTTGTTCTTTGTAGGTGAATTGGATGGATTTTTTTAAAGGGGTCTGATGTGGGGTTGAAACCTTTACTCCAAGAGACTCAGTAGAGGTTTTCGAAAACCTGACTGTAATATCACTCCAAAGTCGACAAAGTTGTTTGAAAAGATTCGTAATAGGAACTCCATGAGTTGGTTATGGATGGATACCAACGCAGAAACAACTTTAAGTGATGAAGGTTTCCATCATAGCTGATGGTTCTCTGACAGCAATAACCACAATTAGTGGTGGTAATCCAGTAATATTGGGATGGGCCATCTTTGGTGACATTGTAAATAGTAATTCATTCCAATTGCATTCTTGTCACTAGTCATCTTTAACTGGGCCCATGTGACTGACCTTGCCTTGGTAGACAGAGTTTTGATCTCTCCGGGAATTGAGGGATCTGGGGAATGAGTGGTAAAAGTGAAGTTTTGACCAAAGACTAGCTGTGATGTTACTGAAGGGTGGGATGGACTCCAGCCTCTGAGTGGTCTCCTCCTCCTATTTCTTCTCGAAGATCAGCTGCAGGTTTCCTGTGTTACACGGGTTTAGTGCATGAAGTTCTTTTCCTGTCTTAACCTGTCCCTAGCCCCAAAGTTATCCATTTCAAGAATTAATCTGTGAAATCCAGTTTGCAAATGAAAGTAAGTTCCCACACCAATAGAAGCCAAAATCTCTACGATCAACCTGCAAATCCCAGCAAGCAGTAAATCAGGTTGAGCGGTTCCATATGCAGTTGACAAGCCATTTCTTTAGCCTTGGTTATTTTATGCTGAGGAATGAGATTCTTGCTCACAAGACAGAAAATACTGCATTTATTCTCTGGATGTTGGTACAAGGTGTTCTTTACAGCAGTATAGAGAGAGAGAATAGAAAGTCTACAATTGCCAGAATGAGTGAGCTAAATTCATGATTGCTGATTGGTTACAGAGTGGAGGGAGTTGCTGTTAGCCATGAAGTGTAAATCCCCCACAAAAACAAACTCTGCTGCCTTTACAACAACAAATTCTTGAAGATAATACATAATTTCTTTACTTTTCTGAAGTGCTGCCCAAAATGCCCACAACCAGAACCTTATAAGCAACACAGTGCCAGCACTTAGCTTTCAGTGAATACTCCTGAAGCCAGTGTTGTACTTGAAGGGACTGGTGGAAATGCTGAGCAGTAGTGTTGTTTGAGTTTGGTCGTATGGGCAGCATATTGGCTGCCGTGGTGGCACAGTGGTTAGCACTGCTCTCTCTCAGTGTCAGGGACCCAGGTTTGATTCCAGCCTCTGGAGACTGTCTGTGTGGAGTTTGCATGTTCTCCTCATGTTTGCATGGGTTTCCTCCCACAGTCCAAAGATGCGCAGGTTAGGTGGATTGACCTTGGGAAATGCAGGATTACAGGAATAGGTTAGGGGCTGGGTCTGTGTGGGATGCTCTTTGGAGGGTTGGTGCTGAATCAATGGGCTGAATGGCCTCTTTCCTCACTGTAGGGGTTCTATATTTCTATGAAAAATGAGTTTCGTCTATAGAGCATTCCTGAATGTTGACGTGATGTTGAGGCACTGAGTGAGGACAATTGCATGGGATGCTGTTTGGAGGGTCGGTGTGGACCAATGGGCTGAATGGCCAGCTCCCACACAGTAGGGATTCTATGATGTTTCTAGGGATACAAACATCCACACTGGGGAAGGTCTGAGAGTTAGGCAGGGGCAGCAGAGTTGAATATGGGATAATTCATAAATGATTTTGTATTAATTTTCATTGTGAATCAGAAATAATTTGCAAAGTGCTTGCAGGAGGGCCTTACTGATGGGCTGAATGGCCTTTCCTTGTTCCATACCACTTAGTGCACTTCACAGGTATCTGGAGGATGATGGGACAAAGCAGGACGTGAGGGGATGCGGGTTGAAGGACGAATATATGATGCAGGATATGCATCAAAATGTTCAAGTAATGTCGATGAGGATCTCTTAATAACATTGTTCTCTGGGAAGGGGGAGGACCTTGCAATTTTTAACTTGAATCCAATGTCCCTCCCCTGCAGATGTTCGTCATTGATACTGTGGTTGGAGATAACTGCAACTTCAGCGAGTTCAGCATCACTGGATCCACCTATGCTCCAGAGGGACAAGTGTGAGTACTCTTAAAAGATAATCTACAACTGCAGCACTCTTAATGTTAACCCATTCCAAACTCCATATTGGGGGGTGTGGGGCACACTGTAGCCATCTAGTGGCAAATGCACCAGCTCCTGTAAACACTCCGTGTTGTTGTCAACAGAAGGGCGTTGGATCATGGATGCTGCAAAACAAATGACTGTGTCATTGTGAAGTAGGTTTTCACAGATATTTGAGTGTGAGGCATTGGATATGGGCTGTGAGAAGGGAAAGTGGATGGGATATGACCTGTGAGTAAGTGTCAGTGGAGGTGTGAGATTGGTTGTTTGATTAGGTTATACCTTTAGACTGTGGCTGGAGGGCAGTTTAATGAAGGATTTATTTGATGACAAGGCCTTCATGCCCTCCCTAACCTGCTGTATACAACAGTCTGGTGATGTGCTGTAATGTGGAGCAGGGTCCCTATATCCCAGAGAAAAAGGTCAGGGTGACTCCCTCCTTCCGCCCTGCTCTGATAACTTGCCCCACACACATTCGAAGGAGCTACTTGGAAGGGTGGCCTCTGCTGGGATTGCAACAGTCCCCAACGTTGAGTAGACGAGAGCCAGAGTGCACGGTAAATGATGAGGAGGCAGTGGGATAAGCATCTCCAAGACCCATCAGGAAGGTGTGACCCAGGGTAGGCACCTGGGGGTAGAGTGGAGAGGGGTAATGATCTGGAAAGGATTGCCTCCAATGGGCGTGGGAACCTGTTAAGGAGCTCCCCCACTGTCTCCAGCTGCAGAGTGAGAGCGGTTTTAGCTGGCTACCGGCTGTGGTCCTCTCCCTCCACTGGTTCAATCCCAACGGGCCCATGGGCCTCAACCCCGTCCATGCAGCTGGTAGAAATGTGGCAGGGGCAGGTTTGAGCAGGTAGTGGGCTTGGTGCTAGCAAAAGTTTATTTCTGCCCACAAACCTGGCACTGGGGCCTGGGGAAATTCAGTCCAAGGTGATGCTGATCTTGGACAGATAGCAGACTCAGAGTAGAATTGCAGTCATTAATTTGCTTCAGGATGAAGAGGGACCTGTTCATGGTGTGTGTCAGGAATTAGAGAGCTGGCATTGAGACTTGCCATGAAAAAGTAGTGACTGGCTGTGAGGGAATGTTAAAGTGAGAAAGAAAATCCACCAAATTTATTAAAAATATGACCCATGTCTGATTTCACTCCGATGGCTGCAATGTTCAAAAGAAAATTTATATATTCTCCTGCTTGTCCTTCAACTTCATTAACGCAAACAGAGGTAATTTACAGACATTTGCTTTCTTTTTCCCAAACCGTAAGGTGTTTGCTCACTGTGGAGCTGATGTGTTGCTAGTCCATGTAACCAAATTCCGCTCTGCAATGATGTGATGGGCTTATCCATTTGGTGTATGCTGCTTTCCTGAATTCTGAGTACCTGGCATCAGGCTCTGGGACAAGGGTCGTCTCGGAGCAGACTCTTCTTCAGTCTCACTTAGAAATGTTGTACAGTCTTTGTTTGACTGAACAGAGAAACATCGGAAGATAAAATGTTACAACCATCTGTATGCAATGCTGCACGTACTCTCTGAATCCTCAGGAGGTGTTCAGATGCCTTCTGACAGGGGTCTTTAGTACAGCTGTCATCAACAATGCTCCTTTGAAGCTTTACCCATTGTCTGATTTATGGAACCTCTGTGGGGAAAATAAATTAGATGAGCTTAACTCCTTTTCTACCTCTTGTTCTTTCAAATCCTTAATTCTTCTTTCCTTCTTTCAGTCTTGGTGTTGTCCTGCTTTTGTTCATTCCTGGCTTGTTTCCTTTCTCATTCTTATTTGTGCTTTTTCTCGTACACGTTATTTCTTTCTCTCTTATCCCCGGTTTTACACTCATTCTATGTCCCCCCTTCTCTTCTGGAGCTCTTTCTTTCCCTCTTCTGTCCTCTCCTTTTCTACTTCTCTTCTTCAATCACTTTCCTTCTCTCTGTCTCCATCTTCTCTCTCTTATTCTAATTGTTTGATCTTTTCTTTCCCTATAACCAGATTTAAAAAAAAACACACCTGATTAACTTTCCAACACACTCCTCCTTCTTGGTGTTGATGTTGTGACATCTCATGACTCACCAGCACTCCTTCTGTCGCTATTTATTTAAGGTTCTTGTATCATTTGACAGTACAGGTAAAAAAAAAATAAGCAGAGTGCCACAGATACTGGAAATCTTGAGTAACAGAGAAAATTGTTGGCAGCGCTCAGCAGATGAGGCAGCATCTCTGGAGAGAGCAGGGGAGTTAACATTTGATGTATGGACATAAGTACATAAGAACTAGGAGCAGGAATAGGCCATCTGGCCCCTCGAGCCTGCCCCGCCATTTAATAAGATCATGGCTGATCTTTTTGAGACTCAGCTCCACTTACCCACCCACTCACCATAACCCTTAATTCCTTTACTGTTCAAAAATTTATCTAGCCTTGCCTTAAAAACATTCAGCGAGGTAGATTCAACCGCTTCACTGGGCAGGGAGTTCCACAGATTCACAACCCTTTGGGTGAAGAGGTTCCTCCTGACCTCAGTCCTACATCTGCTTCCTTTTATTTTGAGGCTATGCTCTCTAGTCCTAGTTTCACCTGCTAGTGGAAACAACCTCCCTGCCTCCACCTTATCTATTCCCTTCATAATCTTATATGTTTCTATAAGATCTCCCCTCATTCTTCTGAATTCAAATGAGTATAATCCCAGTCTACTCAGTCTCTCCTCATAATCCAACCCTCTCAACTCTGGAATCAGCCAAGTGAATCTCCTCTGCACCCCCTCCAGTGCTAGTATATCTCGTCTCAAGTAAGGAGACCAAAACTGCACACAGTACTCCAGGTGTGGCCTCACCAGGACCCTATACAGCTGCAGCATAGCCTCCCTGTTTTTAAACTCCATCTCTTGAGCAATGGCAGACAAAATTCCATTTGCCTTTTTAATCACCTGCTGTACCCGCAATCCTACTTTTAGTGATTCATGCACAAGGACACCCAAGTCCCTCTGCACAGCAGCGTGCTGCAATTTTTTACCATTTAAAACATAGTCCATTTTCCTGTTACTCCTACCAAAATGGATGACCTCACACACTTATCAACATTGTATTCCATCTGCCAGACCTTTGTCCACTCACTTAGACTATCTATATCCCTCTGCAGACTTTCAGTGTCTTCTTCACACTTTCCTCTACCACTCACCTTAGTGTCATCTGCAAATTTTGACACACACTTAGTCCCCAACTCCAAATCATCTGAGTGAATTGTAAACAATTGAGGTCCCAGCACTGATCCCTGATGCACACCACTAGCCACTGACCGCCAACCAGAAAAACACCCATTTATCCCTACTGTTTGCTTTCTACTGGTCAACCAATCCTCTATCCATGCCAATACATTACCTGTAATACCCTGCAACTTTATCTTATGTAGCAGCCTTTGGTGTGGCACCTTGTCAAATGCCTTCTGGAAATCCAGATACACCACATCCACAGATTCCCCATTATCCACCATGCAAGTAATGTCCTCAAAGAATTCCACCAAATTAGTTAAACATGACCTACCCTTCATGAACCCATGCTGGGTGTTCCCAATGGGAGAATTTATATCCAGATGTCTTGCTATTTCTTCCTTAATGATAGATTCAAGCATTTTCCCCACTACCGAAGTTAAGCTAACTGGCCTATAGTTTCCTGCTTTTTGTCTACTTCCTTTTTTAAACAGTGGCGTCACATTGGCTGTTTTCCAATCTGCGGGAACCACCCCAGAGTCCATTGAAGTTTGGTAAATAATTACTACTGCATTTGCTATTTTCCCCCATCACCTCTTTTAGTACCCTGGGATGTATTTCATCAGGGCCAGGAGACTTGTCTACCTTTAGCCCCATTAGCTTGCCCAGCACTGCCTCCTTAGTGATAATGATAGTTTCTAGGTCCTCACCTGCTATAACCTTCTTGCCATTAGTTTTCGGCATGTTATTTGTGTCTTCCACTGTGAAGACCGACACAAAATAACTGTTTAACTGGACCTTTCAGTACTGGGCAAAATCCGGACTCCTTTGAAATACTACCTTTTCTATCTTTTTAATGTTCCTTGACCTGCTGAGTGCTACGAACCTTTTTTGATCACTGCTTGAAACAAAATGGTATGTTGTCATAACACACATGCTACGGCCCCCAGTTAGGTTGTTGTATGGGCAGTGCCTTATCATAAACTCTCTACAGCACCAGTGTTAATATATCAGCACTTGTTTTAAGTCTCATTATCTAATAAAGAGCCTGTATTAGATCTGCTGTCTTAACATTGACTCTCTGTAATATTTCCTTCAGTGCAGGAAAACCATCAGAAGCACTAGGGCTCAGTAAATGGACAGTGTTTGACGCTTAGTTGAGCCTTATTGTGTTGTGGTCGGTCTGTACTAACCATGCAAGAACGAACAGGTCTGCCCAAAATTATACAGAAATCATGTTTCCTCTCCAGCCTTTCGTATGTACAAACAAATTGTAGGTAACGTATTAAAGAAAAAATTGCATTGCCATAGACATCCCTGTGGAGGTATTTCAAATTTATACAGTCATGCATTGAGAGATGACATTTCATTGTAAAAAAGAAGTGTTCCCATTTTCAAACAGTGATTTGTAGGAAATTTTGGTACAAAATACACAGAAATCACATGAAACCCCGGAGGGATTAGCTTCCTCCCTACAATTCATGCCAGCCCGACTGAAATCAGTACTGTGCATGCAGTCTTGCAATAAAGTGCTGACATTACAAATACAAACTGGGCAGGACTGGTATAGCAATAAACCAGACAATTTACAGGAAGGCCCAGAGGAGATTCACTCTTCTTGCAGAAATGTATCCTTCACAAGGAGGAGCGTCGCATTGCGATTTCTACCTGGCATTAGAAAAAGACTTACAGATGCCTGTCCTTGAAGGCCTCTATCATTGATTTGTAGTTGATTGTGGCAGGTTATGTCAGTGGTACTGTATGCAGCCATCATTACAACATGAGTGTTAGAGTTCACAAGGTTATGTGGATAGCTCAGCAGAGATTGAGAACGCAAACTTACATCAATGCTTCCAGATGATGAGCAGGACTTAGCTTACAATCTAGCCTGGTCAGATTGCCTGCTCCAGTGATGATTTTGATGGCTCCAGCTCCAAGAGATTTCAGACACTCCTTAGTCACTGCAGCAACTTTATTAATAATGAAGACACCGTGACTTTTCAGTTCTTCAGCCATCGCATCACCATTGGCTGTTTATCAGCTTCAGGGATAGCTAACTGGATCTTCGAGTGCTTGCTCCATGCTGTGATGGTCCTTCACTTACAATTGAGTCAACTGTGCCAGGTGTCTTTAGCAGGATGAAAGAAAGTTAGCCGGATATTGATGCAGAATTACAGGCAGAGCACCCAGAGACAGCAGAAAATGGCTTCTCTCAGATTGCAAATTACCAAGGTATTGAACAAAAGATGGCCAACCACGACTGAAAGATGGAAACGATGTGAGCAATGCCACGAACACTGTTCGAAGTTCTGTTAATCCTTTTGATCCTTCCTTTGAAACAGATCAGTTGTGTCACATCACATCAGACCAAGTTGCACTAGCATGTCTTGTAGTCAAGGGCCATGAAAAGGGAGAGGAAGCATTCATGACTCTTGTTTTGTTAGAAGTGACTGTAAGAACAAGCTGTCAAGGAGTTAAGACTTCCAAGGATACAAGAAAATGTATGGTCATAAAGTAAATGTCAGAGAGAGTGTAAAAACAGACTAACCAGACTGAGAGATTTTAGGGCAGTGGCTAAAGTGGATCAATGAGATGCTGGTCCATAGGTTGGAAATGTTACTCCTGTCTGTAATCGTGATGGATCCTTCATCAATACAATAAAGGAAAGCTCTTGCAGTGTAGTAGGAACTGCAAATGCTGGAGAATCCGAGACAACAAGTTGCAGAACTGGATGAACACAGCAGGCCAAGCAGCATTGAAGGAGCAGAAAGGCTTGCAGAGCTGGATGAACACTTGCAGTGTATTTTTTTTGAGTGGTATGTATATCAACCCCCAAACCATTTGATGTGATCTCCAGTGGTAGGACATGGCTATGGCATGCGCTAGCATTCTTTATGGAATTGCAGTTAATATTTGAACAAGAGTGATCCACTTTGTCCTGGACATGTACAAGATCAAGAGTGGTTTAAGAAGGTGGAGATCAGTTTGACAAATGCATATTCCAAAATTTTGTCTCTTGACCAGAAAATCCCAGAGCAGTGAACAAGGCTTCAGCCTTCCAGTGACACAACAGTTGACTCCAGTTCCTCTATGAAAGATGGTGCCAGCCTGCAAAGACATCATTGATGACATAACACTATTTATTGAACAGGAAGGGAGGGTCATGCAGTTCTTCAGAATGACAGTAAAGCAGACCTGGAAGTGGTACCAATCCCAGCACTGTTCCCAAATGAAGGAGCAGCTTAAATAGGGCCACAGCTTCTCAGTGAGATTACAGCAGGTTCCATGAATCATGTTGTCACAAACAGCCCTGATATTGCTGTCTTTGTAATGCATCGGATTCAGCAAGGACAAAGCTCTACTTTCACAGAGGAAGAGGAATTAACACACATACATTGGTGTGCATTGTATCATTGATCATTTTGATTGAGATGCTGGTCCCTTTGGGTTTCATTGCTTTTCAGGATGTAGTTTTATAAATCCTCCGTATAGGATATGGGAGGTGAAATCGGCCAGCAAAGAGCATGGTGCAACATTTGAGAAGTTGGAGCCACCTCTTGCTTTTGCACTTTGTGTGAAGAGCCAGAGGCAAGTGAGTGAATTGTATTGGCAGCTTAGATGTGGACCAGATGTCAAATATTCGTGATTGGATGTTTTGTAGGGAAGGGCTGGCCACTAAACAATGTTTCATTGTCAAATCAAGTTGCCGTAGTCTGGTGTTCTCTTATTAGAGAGAGATAACTGATGATGATTTAACCTGAGAGCCACCACACCTTGGGCAAGGGGAGAGGTTGAGAAGGAGAGTCCTTCATGGTAACCTCAGTCAGTGATGAGGATTGAACCCACGCTGTTGGAATCACAATGCTTCACAAACCAACCGTCCAGCCGACTGAGCTAAACTGATCTCCAAAGTTTCATTGTATGCACTGATACAGCCTTCTAATGACCAGCTCCCAATCCACAAATGATGGCTCCAGAACATACCAGAAATTCCATCTCCAAAGGACTATGGGATGTCTAGTAGAAAATGATGTACTTGTCTTAGACTGAATGACATTTTCTTCAAGACCAGCAAGTGTAATTGGAGCTTGCAGATTGTGTAAAAAGATAGTGTGCACAAGGATGATGTAATTATTCTTGCACCAACACTGCCCTATCAGACTTCCAGGGCTCCAATGATGATGACTCATAGTTATACAAATGCTAACCCAAATAACTCAATGAATCATAAATAAGTAGTACAGGGAAAGATATCATCCTGTAACCTTGGTCACCAATCACTACCCCTGTCCCATTTATGACTTGAGGACTATTTGTAGCTAAATGTGTGAACGTGGGGATGTTCGGTCATAAATGTGCGTCTCTGAAATTTACATAATCTTGCATTGAATAAGTGGTTGCTTTTGTAATTTCTTCCCTAGCAACAGATATGGAAAGTAATTTAGATTAATGTATACATGTACCATGAGCTGTTTCTTCTACCTGTGTGCCTCTCTGTCTGTCCGTGTGTCTCTCTGTCTCTGTTTGTGTCTCTCTCTATCTCTCTCTCTCTCCCTCTCTCCCTTTCTCTTTCTCTCTCTCTCTCTCTCTCTGTGTCTGTCCCACGCACGCGCGCGCGCACACACACACACACACACACAATTTATCATGTGAAACGTTTTGTAACGGTGCGGATCTGAACAAGAACATTTTTGTTCTTTGCAGATTAATGAGAGACAAGCCCATCCAACCCAGTCAATACAGTGGGCTTGTGGAACTTGCTACTATCTGTGCACTGTGTAATGACTCCTCATTGGACTATAATGAGGTGAGTACAACTTTATTTGTTTTAATGACAACCTTTTGCTTCAGTTTTTTTTAAAAAAAGGCTCCTGCTAAGGGCTTCATCTGTATTCTCAGAAGCATTAAACTATCATAAAACCAATCAGTGCTCAAATTGTACTGTACCTTTTTAAAAGTCCCAGCTTTCATTGTGTTTCAACCCATTCTTCGGCGGGTACAATGAAATGTGTGTATGTGCGCGTGCGCATGCCAGAGTGATCGAGTCTTGGGGCGGGGGGTTGGTTGTGGTGTATCATAGAGCATAGAACATAGAACATTACAGCGCAGTACAGGCCCTTCGGCCCTCGATGTTGCGCCGACCTGTGAAACCAATCTGAAGCCCATCTAACCTAAGCTATTCCAATTGGTGTGTGTCATTGAGGGGGTGTGAAGGTGTGCGCATGAGTGCAGTGTAGGCAATTATAGGGCTGTAAGAAAGAGTAAAAAAAAGTATGTTTAATTATCAGGTTGTGTATGTGACTGTGTGGGAGAGAATGGGATATGTGTTTCACTGATGGGGTGTGTGTGTGGTTGTATGAATCAAAGAAAAATTATTGCTTAATCTTTTTACAGTATAATGTCAAATGGCATCCATCACTCCAAATGGACCTTGACATGAATCTTAGCTCCTTAGAAGTCTATTATAGATGTGACAAGTATTCTTCACACCCTGCAGTGAATCATGTGTTGAGAATTTGAAGACCTGTTGGCAGGCTATTAACCTACTAGCTGCCTTTTGCTGAATGTCATTTAACACAGAACTTCTTGACTTCTGCTTTTTGTTCTTCTCTGCCTTTCCCTTGTTTTCGCCAGCGTTGTACTCAGGCTGTCCTGCCTACCCACCTGCTCTGGCACGTGTGGAAGTGTGCAGCTCAAACATCAGTCTCTCGACTTTCTTACTCCCTGACTGACCTGTGTGTCTCCTTTTCACATGATAGTGCTCCTCCTCCACATGTCTCTTAGATTTACTTATTATTAGTTCGCTCCTCTTTTGGTCATCAGTATTATTAATTGTATTGACTGACGTTCATTGAGCAATCCTGATTGTTTGTTTGTGTAATCACTTCAGTTAATTTGAGTATATTCAGTTGAGTTTGCAGTACGTCTCATTTAGACTTATTAGTAGCGACATACATTCAGATACTGGGATTACTTTCTGTAAACTAAAGGAATATACTCAAGCCAGCTTTTGTTTTTGAATTACTCACGGGTGTGGGGAGCCTGGATCACCCCATTGGTCTGTCCGTGGCAACACCTTGGCAAGAGTTGACATACCAACCAACTGGTCTCTCTTTGAGCAGTATTCACAAATCTATTGTAACATAAAAGCCTCTTGTGGGTAGTTCAAAATATTATTGTTGTGCTTGTCACACTTCTGAGCTTTTCTTCCATTAGGAAGTTTTCAGACATTGGTGAAGCCACTTTTATAACACTGTGTATAATTCTGGTCATCCTGCTGTAGGAAGGATGTTTTTAAACTAGAAAAAGTGCAGAAAACATTTACAAGGATATTACCAGGACTGGTGGGTGTGCATTACAAGGAGAGACTGGATAGGCTGGGACTTTTTTCCCCCTGGAATGTTGGATGCTGAGGCATGATCTTATAGAGGTTTATAAAAACATGAGGGACATAAATAAGGTGAATAGCCAAGGTCTTTTCCCCAGGATAGTGGAGTCCAAAAATAGAGGACATAGTTAAGGTGAAAGGGGAAAGATTTAAAAGGGACCTGAGGGGTAACATTTTCACACACAGATGGTGTGTAGATGGAGCAAGCTGCCAGAAGAAGTGGTAACGCAGGTACAATTACAACATTTAAAAGACATTTGGACAGGTTCGTGGATGGGAAAGGTTTAGACAGATATGGACCAAACGCAGGCAAATTGGACAAGTTAAGTTTTGGGATATCTGGTTGGCGTGGACAAGTTGGACTAAAGTATCTGTTTCTGTGCCGTATGACTCATAATAAAAGGAACTTGTCAGATTTTAAAACAATATTACCTCCACCGACTATAGCACCACAGCTGTGCATCTTAGTCTGTATTGCAATGAAACATCTATTCTTCTCCACTTCCCAAATTTCAGTATTTGTTTTTACTAAAATAAATGATTATGAAATCAAAGCAGTAAAAAATCTACACAAAGTACAACTTTAAAATTGAATTACTTGCGTGTATTCTGGTCTCCTATCTCCTACTGTCTAGCTGTGTACTATCTGACTACACATGGTCTTGCCTACGGTGGGACATTCATTCATTAGTAGTGAAATAAATTGTGAGGTTTTGATAGATTTTTGAGTGTTAACTGATTACCAACCTGTTATGTTTGTTTGTAATTTGATTGAAACAATGTGAAAATTTCTTAACATTTCTAGACCTTTTTTTCTGAGAAATAGCTTAAGTTTTCAAAGCCTAGACTTATTCTAAGGATGACTAATAGGCTTTTAGAGTTATGGGATATCAGGGGAGCCAAATGGAGTGTACAACTAGCCGTATGTATGATGTCATGAACGTACCACATATCAACAGCAAAGGCATCTATGGGACTTGTCACCAACAGAACAGGCTTGAGTTCTGGGCTTCAAAACTTGAGCAGTGGCTGTAGTCACTATTGTATGTCGGAGAGGACTACTGCACATGTAGGAAGGCGGTCACACCATACACAGAAACTTAGGAATAGGGTGTTCACCAGGCAGACTAAGAAAACCAGGCATCTCTCTTGCTTGCTAACCAGCACTCCTTTTTGGAAACTAGTGATGGCACTGGTTCCTCAGGGGAGTTCAGCCACAGTCATGCCCACAATCCCATGGGTGATGCAGCTGTACAGGAGTGGGCAGGGAATGGAAGACCAATAGTTATAGGGAACTCCATAGTCCGAGGGGTCAGGCAGGTGCTACTGTGGCAGTAAACATGACTCCAGATAGTGAGGCCCCTTCCTGGTGTCAGGATCAAGAATGCCATGGAGTAGCTGCAGGAAATCCTTCTGGGGGAGGCATCATCAGCCAGAGGTTGTGGTCCACATTGGGACCAGCAACATAGGTAGGAAGAGGGATGAGGTCCTGAAGGTAGATTTCAGGGAGTTGGAATGGAAATTAAAAAGTGGGACCTTGAGCAGTAATCTCAGGAGCACTTCCAGAGCCATGTGCCAGGAGGATTGATCATTTGAATATGTGACTGGAGAATCGCTGTAGTATTGAGAACAACAAATTTCTGAAGAATTGGGACCAGTTGCGAGGTAGGTGGGACCTGTACAATCTGGAGGATCACGAAACTGATGGGGATAGAGAACATGGAATGTGACCACTGTCTAGCAAATGAAAAACATAAAAATGGACTGTAAAAGCCTCTAGGGGTACATTAAAGGGAACCTTCTGGCTAAAATAAATGTGGGACCAAAGCAGGCAGAGTCAGAATGATTTATAAAGGGGAATAGAGAAATGGTAGAGAAGCTGAATGATTACTTTGTGTCTGTTTCCACTGAGGATATCTCCCAGGAGGGATCCAAGTGGCTAGGATAGACAAGAAAGAAAAGGAGATAGAGTTTGGTGTTAGCAAGAAGATTGTACTGGGAAAGTTAATGGGGTTGAAAGTTGATAAGTCTCTAGGACCTGATGGATTTCATTCTGGCGTGTTGGAGGTGGTTGTGTAGACGATTGATGTATCTTCCAAAATTCTATAGATTCTGGAATTATTCCTGTAGCTTGTAAGATAACAAATATCATGCCACTATTTAAGGAGGGAAATATAGACCCGTTGGCTTTATATCAATCACCTTACATCAACAAGAAGAGGAAAGCTCTCAGTGCCTGGTAAAACGATATCACTGTGAACCAAAGAGAAGAACTCATCGAATATCAAAGGCGGACTTACAAAGGAGAATGAAGGAAATCAAGAACTAATAGGTGGACTGAGAAAGCTAAGGAGCTGCATTCCTTGCTGATAAACACGACAAGCCGGGATTTCTTTGGTGCCACAATGTTGCCTCAATTTAATGAGATGTAAGGATTATACTGTTTTGAGTGGCAGAGAAAACATCAGCCACTGATGGAGAGAATGCTTCAAAGAACTCCTAACCTGCAACACCATCGTTAATGAGGGCATATTTGAGAAATCTCCCAACTCCCCATCAATGACGGGTTTGAACTCCCACCTAGTATGGCAGACGTTGAAGCCTCATTTAGACACCTGAAGAATGGACAAGCTGAAGGAGTAGATGGAATTCCAGTGGAGATTTTCTGATTTGGAAGAACAGAGCTTACTGTTTCCTCTATTGACTGTTCCTGAAAATCTGGAACAGAAGAAATCCCTGCAGATCTCTGGAATACTGCCATCGCCACTATCTTCAAGAAAGGAGATAATGTGGACTTTTTTCATTCATTCATGGGGTGAGGGCATTGCTGGCCAGGCCAGCATTTAATGCCCAGAGGGCACCTATGAGTCAACCACATCGCTGTGGGCCTGGAGTCATGTGTAAGCCAGACCAGGTAAAGGTGGCAGTTTCCTTCCCAGAGGATATTACTAAACGAAATGGGTTTTTCTGACAATCGACAATGGATTCATGGTTATCATTAGACTCTTAATTCCAGATATTTATTGAATTCAAATTCCACCATCTGCCATGGTGGGATTTGAACCCAGGTCCCCAGAACATCATCTTGGGTCTCTGGATTAACAGTCCAGCAATTATGCCACTAGGCCATCGCCTCACCTTGGGGAACTGTGGGAATGACCAAGGAATCTCCCTGCTGTCTGTTGGCAAGGTCATCACCTAAATCCTCACTAGGCGCCTTCTCCCAGTCTCTGAGGAAATCCTTCCTGAAAGGTTTCCAATCAAACTGCGGAGCTAGGACATGATTTTCACTGCTCAGTAACTCCGAGAGAAATGACAGAAATAGCACCAACCGCTGGCTGTGGCCTTCCTCGATCTGACCAAGGCTTTTGACTCAGTCACTTGGGAAGTGGAATGGAAGATCCTGTCAAAAGCTGACTGTCCAGTGAAATTCATTAATATCCCCCATCTCCTCCATGAAAAAATGTTGGTGATGGTCCTGACTGAAGGTAGTGTGACAGAATCCTTTCGGGGTTAAGACTGGGAACAAGCAGGGATATGTCATCACACCCACCCTTTTCTCCATCTTCATTGCCACCACTCTTCACCTTGTCAAAATGAAACTTTCCATGATGTGGACTTTGTCTACAGGGTGCATGGAAAACTTTCCTGGCTCCACCTGGTTGAAATCCAAAAGGAAAACGACACTGATGTTGCTTGTGAACTTCGAGTATGTAGATAACAATGTCATCCCTGCTCCCCCAGGAGAGAATCTTCAAGCCTCCCTTAAATACCTTGGCGGAAGTATACCAAAGAATTGGTCTCAGCCTCAACCTCAGGAAGAGTTAGAGAGTCATACAGCATAGAAACAGACCCTTCAATCCAACTCATCCCCGCTGACCGAGTTTCCCAAACTAATCTGGTCCACTTCCCTACATTTGACCCATATCCCTCTAAACCTTTCCTATTCACGTACCTATCCAAATGTCTTTTAAACATTGCAACTGTACCTGCATCTACCACTTCCTCTGGCCGTTCGTTCCACATATGAATCACTTTGTGTGAGGAAGCTGTCCGTTGGGTCCCTTCACGTTAAAGTTATGCTCACTAGTTTTGAACTCACTTCGCCAGGGAAAAGACCTTTCTAGTCACCTGTCGATGAACCTCATGATTAAAAAACCTCTAAAATGTCACCCCTCAACCTCTTCCACTTCAGTGGAAAAGGCTCCAGCATATTCAACCTCTGCTTATAACTCAAACACTCCATCGCTGGCAACATCGCCGTAAATTTTTTCAGACGTTTTCCATTTTAGTAATATCCTTCCCATAGCAGGGCAACCGGTATTGCACACAGTACTCCCAAAAGTGGTCTCAACAACCTCCTGTACAACTCAACATGATGTCCCAACTCCTATACTCAGTGGTCTGAGCAATGAAGGCAAGTGTGTTTAAGCACCTTTTTGGCCATCCTGTCTACCTGTGACGCAAATTTCAAAGACTTGAATTCTTTACCAAATTGTCTCAGGTCAAGATCCGGTCCATCACTCCATTAAGATCAATGGAGAGATTCTCCGAAATGTGGACCATTTCCCTTCCTTGGGGAGCCGTCTGTCATCTAAAACTGACATTGGACGTGAGGTCGAATCTCGATATCAGCCAGTGAGCACCACTCCCAGACGTCTTTAGGATGAGAGTCTTCAATGCCTGTGACATCTGTGCAGACACGAAAACCCTTGCAGATAAAGGCAGTCATACTTTCAACTCTCCTTCTGAAATTTGGACTACGTATAGTCACCACTCCAAGACCCTGGAAAAAGACCATCGACGCTGTTTGAGATGGATTTTCTGCATCAGCTGGGGATCAGGCGCACTAACGTTAGAGACCTTGATGGAGCTAATAGCACCAGGATTGAGACCATGATCATCCAAAACCAACTCCACAGGACTGGCCGTGTGCTTTAGGATACCTGAGTTCCCACTGCCAAAGCACATCGTCCTCACCCAGCTCAAGAAAAATTTGAGAAGGACAAAAGAAACATTTTGAAGACTCCCTGAAGGGTTTCCTCAACGAGCAACTTAGATGTCAATGCATGGGAGACCTTTGTTCAGAAAAAAATGGGCTTGCAGGTACCTCCTGTATGAAGGGACATAATTCTTCGAGAGCTCCTGTTGGCAAGAGGAAATATGGAAAAGTAACTGGAGAAAAGAGTGCCAGCCGTCTCAAAGCCCAGAACTGATTCCACTTGTGGAAACATCTCCCAGTTTACTTGGAGATTGGGCTCATCAACCACACAAGGACCACCCGAATCCATGACCCGTGACACAGGATTTCCTCAATGCACAATCCTACTCGTTGTTGAGTGATTGGCAATGACATCAATAATGGGGAACCTGCTAGACTCTATTATAAAGGATGAGACAAGTCACTGAACACTAACCTGCAGTAAGCTCTTCGGAAGGCTAATGGAATGTTAGTCCTGCAAAAAGATTTGAGTTGAGGACTAGTGATGTCTTGCTTCAATTGTTTAGGAGCTCGGTTAGACAGCATCTGTTGTGCTGTGTATAGTTTTAGTCTCCTTATCACAACAAATGAAATATTGCTGCAAACGGAGTGCAGCAAAGGTCCACCAGCCTTGTTCCCAGGATGGCAGGACTGTCCTGTGAAGAGAGACTGAACAAACTGGGCCTGTATTCACTCGAGTTTTGAAGAAAGATTGAAACTTACAAAATACTGAAAGGAATGGGTAGAGTAGATGCAGGGAGATGTTTCCCGTGGCTGGGGAGCCTAGAGCCAGGAGGTACAATTTAAACATTAATTTCAAATAGTTCTGAAAAGGGGAGGATTTTTTTTACCCAGGGTTGTGAACCTTTAGAATTCTCTCCCACAGAGGGCTATGGAAACTCCACCTTTTGAGTATATTTGAGACACAGATTGCTGTCCGTCAGAAATTTATCAATGTCCAGGGTTATAGGGATGGGATGTATAAAAGATATTGAAGTGTTGGATCAGTCATGATCATATTGAATGACCATATGCTGTTCCTCTGTTTGTATCTGCTTAAAAACATGCTGCTAATCCTGTCCTTTGCTTTTGTACCCCAGGCAAAAGGAGTCTATGAGAAGGTTGGCGAAGCCACAGAAACTGCTCTCACATGTTTGGTGGAAAAGATGAACGTTTTTGACACTGACCTCCACGGTATCAGCAAAGTAGAAAGAGCGACGTTTTGTAACAATGTGAGTACTCATTACTGTAACCGCCACAAATTGTTCCACATTGTTGTAATGTAGAGAAACAATTTGGTGGCCTTTATGTTGTTTATTTGAACCTATGAGGTGCTGGGAGGCATAGTTTAATGGATTCAGAATATTTTTCACCCTTCCATATGATGTGGGTGTCATTTGCAAGGCTAGCATTTGCTGTCCATCCCTACGTATCCTTGAACCACATGGCTTACTTGACCATTTGAGAGTGCAGTTAAGTAGGTATGGAGTTGCATATAGGCCAGACTGGGTAAGGATAGCGGATTTTCTTTCCTCACGGACATTAATGAACCAGATGGGGTTTTGCAACCATCAATAATGATTTCATGGTTAATGTCACCAAGACCAGCTTTGAATTTCATGTCTGTAAATTGAATTTGAATTCCATGAGCTGCCATGGTGGGGTTTAAGCCCATGTCAGCAGAACATTCTTCTGAAAAAGAAGGGGACAGCTAAGAGGAAAAGAGAGGGACTGTGAAGGGGTTGGGGGGTACTGCCAAGGGAGGGGTGGAGAGTGTTGAGCTATGAACAGGGGAAAGGGAGAGGGAGGCTGAGAGGTGGGAAAGAGGGTGGGTTCTTCGAAATGGGAGATAGGAAGATGGACTGCGAAGGGGGACGGGACCTGCAAAGGAGCAGAGCTAGGAGCAACAAAGCAGAAGAGAGAAGGCGATCTGCAAAGAGGGAAGAGAAGCTGTAGAGGGGAAGATGTGGTATTAAATCTTCCAACAAAGAAATACTCAGCTAACTGGAATCCAGGAAATCGTGAAGCCACTAAAGTAATTAATTCCTTGCAAATGATTGTTGAGTAACTCACTTAAAGCCGCAGGCATTCAGTAGCCACTGCAATTTGGAGAAAAATCTACTGGGCCGCATTGTAATGAGTGCTGTCAACTGGATACTCCATTTTATTTCATAAGGATTTGTCTTTATGTATTATCAAATCTCAATGTGATTTACCTGAGGTGAAATGACTGTATTTGAGACCAACATGTCTGTTTAGCTGAGACCTTACCAGTTCACAGAAAGTGTTTTGGCTGTGGCTTTTTGTGTACAGAAGTGTGTGGCAGTTGTCACAAAAATACTTTTGCTAACTTAAGCCTGTTGTTCTGTGGTAATTTAAATACTGTTTCTAGGAAATTAATGTTTTTCTTGTGTATTTAAGTTTAGTGGAGGGTTGATTGTTGAGGATATTGACGAATTCTTCTAATTCTGCTTCTGAGAGAATCTAAATACCAACAATGTCAACTTAAATGCAGGCAGTATTGTTACTATGTGACTGGACCTCCTAATAAATGAGCTAGTGAGAATGAAAAAGGAGCCCCTGAAAACCAAAATGTAAAAGTCAAGAAGTGAAGTCCTCAAAAGTATTCGTTTCACCCCTGCTTGAATATCTAGTTAACTCTTATCGTGTCTGGTTGACTCTTTTGGTGTGCTAATTATAAAACGTTCCTTGGTTGATCCCACCTGTGCTTAAAGTCTTAACATCCATCTTCTTTTCGGCAGACCATCAAGCAACTCATGAAGAAGGAAGTGACCCTTGAATTCTCCCGTGATCGCAAATCCATGTCCGTTTATTGCTCTCCGACCAAACCCACAGCGAATTCAGGAAGCAAAATGTTTGTGAAGGTAAGAAGCCACCACAACATGATAGACAAATCATCTGCCCTCATGGGTTACTTAGAATCTAACATCTGCTGCTGAGCATGTGAGGAAGACAGCTCATCAGGTCAAATCACAGGAAGGGACAGAACATTATAACATCTTAAAGGTACTTCGAAGGCAGCAATGATACAGGCACACTCTATGTGAAAAGTTTGTACCCCTTCGGAAGAACCATTCTGTGCATTCTCCAACCCATTTCTGACAAATGGACTGGGGTTTGCACCAACTCGCCCTGCAACTGTTTGGTGCCCTGTTAATCTTTCTTACCTTACAATTGTAACACATGATTAACATTGAGGCCCAGAGTACTTTTTCAGTCCTTTTAAGCATGAACTGCAGACTGGATATGGTGACTCTCTGTCTAAGTAAGGCATATATTGGGTGTTTTTTTTTTTTTAAAAGTTTGACCTTATGAATTTTTGCTGCCATTGAAGAGGTGATGGTGCCAGAGTGTCCATGTGCCTAGACTAGTAATCTAGAGACGGAGGCTTAATGATCTGGGGACATCCCATCATGGCAACTGGTGCAGTTTGAATTTAGTTAATAATCCTGGAAGGTAAAGCTAGTCTAAGTCTTACCATAGCCACTATTAGGCATCTGTTTGTATAAGCCCAGCTATTTCACTAATGTCCCTTAGGGAAGGAAATCTGCCATCCTTACCTGGTCTGGTCTACATGTGACTGCAGGCCCACAGCAATGTGGTTGACTCTTAACGGCCTTGTTAGCCACTTGAGTCAAAGGCCAAATATCGGCCTTGCCAACAACACCTGGATAAAACAAAATCGAAGGAGGATCAGGAATTGGAATCTGGGAAACCTGTAGGATTTCTTTCATCCGTTCGTTCTGAAGCCAGGAGAACCCTGCTGGGGCCACAGTATACCCAGTATTCACATATAGCAGGGCAGACACATTCACATCTTCAGGTTTTATTAAGCAATAAGGCAGCATTGAAATTTTTAAAAAGTGGTGCCCGCGGTATTATTTGCTTAATCTGCATTTGAACAGAGTCCATTCTGTTGACGGTTTCTGCCACAGCAATCATTGCAATATGAGGTGGTCCTTGGCAGATGTTCTGATATATTGTGTACATTGCTGTACAGCTTGGACTTTGCTGTCAGATGTTTGTGACTCTGTGCTGGGATCTCCTCACAGTCACATACTGGCAGGAGCCGAGTCCAGGAGCAGCATCTGTCATTTTTTACAAGGGTGATTGCGCATTACTCAAGGTTTTAAGACCACCCGTTAGCAGAGACTAAATCTGCCTTCCACTGAGTCACTAGCCCCCTAGGAACAGGCAATAAATGCCAGCCAGCAACACCCACATCCACAAGTGAATAATAATAAGAAGAAAAATTATAGAAGCTAGTGTTTCTGGACTGAAAGTTTGCTCTATTTCTGCAGCAATGCAGCTTGTCTGTTTAATGTCCTTCTGTCCCACTTGCATTAAGTAGCCTAAATTCAGGAGCTGTTTGATGTTCCCTGTTATTGTCACTTTACTCCGATCGAGGGAGGCTGGGATCGGGCTATTACTTGCTATCGGACACAAGCACATGGCTGCAGGACACCAGAAGTGTACAAAGAAACTGGATGTTCTGACCTGAGCTGGCACAGTGAAGGGTTTTATCTTCAGTATTGAAGGCATAACATTGCATCTGTTGCTTTCCTAGCTTGCAAAGGGTGGAATTCCCTCTCATTAACCACTTGGCAGGAAGAGTGGATGAAATCTTAATTCCCTTCACCTACCTCCTGCCATCAGTGCTTCCCAAAGCTCTTTACAGCCAATGTTGCCACATGTGCACAGCAAGATCAAACAAACAGCATTGCGGCAAATGAGCTACTCAAGTGCTAACGATTCTGATTGAGGGTTGAGCATTGGCCAGGAGCCTGAGAGAATTTCCCTGCTCTTCTTTGAAGCAGTACCGCAGAATATTTTACATCTTCCTGAACAGTTGGGAGGGAGCTCACCGGAAAGGTGCCCTCTCTCTTCCGAAGAATGCAGCGCTTTCTCGATAGTTTACAGTGAGACCTGAACTGACATTGAGAACTTGAATTTATACAGCAGCTGTGATGTATTACAATGTCTCAGGTCACTGTTATGGAGCAATACCTGGCAATAAGGCATTTGGAGACCAAACAGCATGGTCAGAGAGATGTATACCTTTCAAGAAACATTTAGAAGTGGCAAGCAGAGCTGGAAGGCCCAAGGGATTTAGGGAGAGAAAATTCCATGGCTTGGGGCTTGGATAGCTGAAGCCATGGCCACCCATGATGGATTAATTAAAATCATTAATGCTTAAGAGTCCACAGAATTAGCAGCGTGCAGAGATCTGGGAATGGGGTCAGTGATGCGGGGTTGATGGACTTGGCAGAAATTGTGAAGTGTAAAAGTCATGCAGCAATTTGCAAACTTTAAAATCGAAGTGCTATTTAACCAGATGCCGATGTAATTTGATGATTCCCACAATCCTCCCAAGATTTCTACATCGCTGTAACTGTGGCCTCTTGAGTGACCCCAATTTTAATCATTCCAATATTGGTGGCCATGTCATCAGTTGCGTGAAGCCTAACTAAGCTCCTCCTTAAATCTCTTTGCGTCCCCCCTCCACCTCTCTGTAAAACTTTCCTGTTTGACTGAGCCTTTGGTCATCTGACTTAGCTCCTTATGTGGCTCAGTATTGCTGTTTTGTATCATTCCTTAGGGCATTTTGCAGCATTAAGGGCACTATGCAAATCTATGTTGTTGTTTAAATGGGTGAACAGGATTTGATGTGATTTAGGTCTCCAATAACAAAAGGTTCGAATAACCTTAGGTGAATTAAGTGCAGAGCGTGGGACAAATATCTTTCAGGAAACGTTTTAGAATCCGTAGAGTTCTGGAGGATGACCACAAGCACATCTATTAGCTCAACAACCATGTCTTTCAGCACTTTATAAGTCATCATAGTTTAAAAGCAAAGCACTACAGATGCTGGAGATCTTGAATGAAAACAGAAAGTGATGCAAAAACTCATCAGGTCCAGGAACATCTATCGAGGCAGACCATACAGCCTGTTGAGTTCACACTGACCCTCCAATGAGCATCCCACACAGACCCACCCCCATAGCATATCCCTGTAACCCTGCATTCCCCCTGGCCAAAATACCTAGCCTGTACATCCCTGACCGCTATGGGCAATTTAGCATGGCCAATCTACCTAACCTGCATATCGTTGGAGAGAAACAAATTATGTTTTGTGTCCAGTATTTTATTCTGTTTTTATTTGTTTAGTTTGTCTGCTATTTCCTTACCCCCAACTCCCCACCCATTATGGCTTCTCTGTCTCTACCTGTAATAGACCCACACTTTGTATTGCTCACCCTTCATTATATGTTATATAGAAGTTTTTGCAACCTGTTTGTATGTTACTGTCTGCGTAATTTTCATACTTTATTTTCCATCTTTACAAGTTTCTTGGTGCTTTTTGTTTGATATAAAATGCTCTGTTATTTCTACAACAACTCGACCATCCCCATGTCAACTGTTTCCCTTAGCCCCTGAGAATCTGTCACCCTCAAACTTTGAATCTACTCCACGATTGAGCATCCACATCTTTAGGCAAAGAATTCCAAAGATATTTCCTTTTCAAGTTCAGGAATTATAATCAAGCTTTTAAGTTCTGTTTTACGTTCAAAATACTGTAGCTGGCAAGCCACTTTATGCCTCAGAACCATTGAAACCTCTCTTTCTATGATGATGTAGCGGGAAACGGGGATGACAGTGGCTCAGGTTAGCACTGCTGCCTCACAGTGCCAGGGATCCCAGTTCGATTCCAGCCTCGGGCCACCGTCTGCATGGAGTTTGCACATCTCCCCATGTCTGAGTAAGTTTTCTCTGCATCCTCTGGTTTCCTTCCACAGTCCAAAGATGTGCAGTTTAGGTGGATTGGCCATGAGAAATGTAGGGTTGTGGGGATAGGGCAAGGGGCTGGGTCTGGGTGGGAGAGTCAATGCAGACTTGATGGGCCAAATGGTTTCTTTCCAAACTGTAAGGATTCTATGATTCTATGAGTTTTGCGCCTTGCAGGTAAATAAACCTTTTACTCAACATTTGGCAGAATGCTACTTGTCTGATGAAAGCATTTGTTTTCAGGGAGCTCCAGAGGGAATCATTGAACGTTGCAACTACATCCGTTTTGGCACCATGAGGGTGGCCCTGAGCCCTCGTTTGAAGGAAAAGATCATGAGTGTTATCAAGGAATGGGGAACAGGACGGGACACCCTCCGCTGCCTTGCACTAGCCACCCGCGATAACCCACCGCAGAAGGAGGACATGGACTTGGAAGACCCTTCAAAATTCGTCAAGTATGAGGTGAGAGTTACTTGACTCTATTGCAAACAGTGGACAGTGGAGGAGGGAAACAGGCTGTGAGGGATTGAGAATCGAGCTACCTTATTCCTTCCTTATGCTTGATCTTAACTGAGAGCATCATGAGAGCCCACTGCACTTTCTTTTCCTTGAAACTCCAACTCTCTGACTCCGAGATGAGAATGCTGTGACTGAACTAACTTTTGACACCCTGAAGATGAAGGGGCACAAGTGTTGCTGGGAAAATGATGGAGACATAGTGTTAAAGCTTTTTGATTTGAACTCACCAGGCCAGAATCACAGGAATGTCAAATCGTGATGGGAACAACAATTTATCTTGCAGGAGATAGGGGTCAAAACTCAAACAGTTTAAATTGTTGCGTCCTTTTGAAATTTGGGTATTCTTGCGACTGTATTGATGAGTGCAAGACTAAGAGCATCGTTCCACTGTCTTTTTTCCCACTAATATCCAGGTTCCATACTACCAACTGACTATGGAGGAACTTAAATGACTCCTGAGAGAAAATAAGATTTCCATTGCAGATTAATGTCTTCCTCACAAGAAGAATATATCCTAAGCTGTCTGCTTCAGTTAAGCATTCTAACCTGATGCGTATTCGTGCTGAGAAGCCAGAATTTACTGTTTGCATTTGGCTGGAAAAGTCTTCTGTTAAGTATATAATAACAGAGTCCACTCAATGCCCAACCCAAACCAAGAAATTCAAACCATTAAACACTACCCATTCACTCTCCCCGACTGTGTGCAATTCCTGATCCAAGTATAACATTTAAATGTAAAGTACTCTTCCAGGCATAAAATGTTCCATAATTTATCTTATTCTTAATATTGTCTCACTAAATTTAGCCCAGTGATTTAAGAAAACAAAACTGTGGCAGAAGTTCCCCTGGAGTGAGGCAGATCCAGGGCCAAACTCCAGCACATCTTAAGACAGGGTGCTCTGGTTCTGGGGGCATAGGATCATAGAATCCCTACAGTGTGGAAGCAGGCCATTCAGCCCATCAAGTTCGCACTGACCCTCCAAAGAGCATCCCATCCATACTCACACTCCTACCCTATCCCTGTAACCCTGCATTTCCCATGGCTAACCCACCTGGCCTGCACATCCCTGTGCATTTATTAGCATTTTAGCACAGCCAATCCACCTAACCTGCACATCATTGGACTGTGGGAGGAAACCGGAGCACCCGGAGGAAACCCACGCAGACACAGGGAGAATGTGCAAACTCCACACAGACAGTTGCCCGAGGCTGGAACCGAACCTTGGACCCTGGCGCTGTGAGGCAGCAGAGCTAACCACTGCAACATCGTGCTGCACATGGTTCAATTACTTCAGAGAGTCTCCTTCCAGCTAAGAACTGTGCTCAAGCCGGGGCTCAATGGGTGGCACTATCACCTCTCAGTCAGATATGTTTTAGGGGGTTTGTGTGCTATGACGGAGATCTGAGCACAAAGTGTGGGCTAGCGTTACTGCGCATGACTGGGGATTGGCTGCACTGGTGGGGGTGCCATCTTTCAGATGCAATGTTAATCCAGGCCTCCGTCTTTCTCAAACCGATTACAGATAAAGAGCACCCGAGATCCCTCAGTGTTACCCAGTATTTAACTCTCAACTAAAAAATATCCATTACCTGGTCACTTATCTCAATCCTGTGTGCAGCATGGCTGCTACATTACAACAGTGTCCACACATTCAGAGGATATAGTTGGCTGTAAAGCCCTTTGTGGTGTCCTGACATGCAAGGTATCAATGCATGTTCGCCTTTTGTATGGCTGAGAAAATGATGGAACAACTTGATGGCATTTTCTGGTCTGGATGGCTGGAGGTGGTGTCCCGGTTTTTAACATGGGGAGTGTTCTTGGAGCAATGATGTTCTGATAATACTGCAGGGTGTTATTTTCTTACTCTTCATTGCACAGTGACACACATTAATGGGGCAGAACCGTCACAAGGGTATTTGTGCCCCCCCACCCACCCCCGCCAGTGATTGTTCAGCCTCATGCTGTCCTGTGTGCCTCCCTGCAAAGTTGTTGCCAGCAAAAGTAACATGGGAAGCTGGTAAAACAGCACAAGCTTCCTCTAAGAGGAAGCAGGTCCTGGAGACAGGCTTACCGAGCAGGCTAGTATCAGATTCAGCACTTCCAGATTAGGATTACAAACTGCCTGCTGTGTGAATACCCGGGGCTGTGGGCTAATGTTCTCTGGTTAACGTTCAGGTACAGTCATTCATAGAAATAATGTGAGAATATTGGCAGTAAACCTTACAAATAAATAATCGTCTGCTCGAGTTGAACTCCAGCTCATGCCCATCACGCTCGGGCTCACTGATTCCTCAATGAAATTCAAACCCTGCCAATCCCATTGTAGCCCGTCATAATCCTGCCAATCAGAATCGTCCTGATATTTTGGGTTTTTTTTGGTTCGGTTAAAGGAGGTTTGAATTTGATTTGACCATGGCGTATTGGTTGTGATGTCACTGCATGGCAATACCTCCTGATGATCCCATTTTCTTTTCCTTGATCTCTGCTGGCCAATAGTGGACTGATTAAAATGCCAGGTTTCGGTTTTGCTTCCAAATCGTACCATCCTACATTAAAATAAAATGCCTAGTTTGCCTAATGGGTGCACTGGCTTGGCTAAGGAGCCAGTGGTGGTTCCCATCAACAAGTGGTCAGGTTGAAGGTGGGTATTTCTGATCCATCTGCTCAATGTGCCGATGAGGTCTGAGGTGGGGCAGCGGGGATATAGACAAACATAGAAGTGCAAGAATTTGGAGTAGGCTGCTTGGCCTCCTGACCCTAATCTGCTATTTAATAAGATCATGACTGATCTGATTACTCCACAATCCCGCTTACTAAGATAAACTTTCACCCCTTTGCTTTTACATCTTGATCTACATAATCCTGCTTTAAAATGATTCAGACTCTGTATCTGCCACCTTTTTTAGGATGACAGTCCCAAATATGATCTGTTGTGAGATAAGTTCCTCCTCATCTCCGTTTTAAATGGATGACCTATTATTTTTAACAATGACCCTTATTTCAAGATACTCCCACAAGAGGAAACATTCTCTGCACAGTCACCTGTCAAGCCCCCTCAGGATATTATCTGTTTCAATCAAGTCAGCATGGTGCCTTAGTGGTCAGCACTGCTGCCTCACAGCGCCAGGGACCTGGGTTCGATTCCACCTTTGGGCCACTGTATCTGTGGAATTTGCACATTCTCCCCATGTCTGTGTGGGTTTCCTCCGGGTGCACTGGTTTCCCCCCACAGTCCAAAGTTGTGTAGTTTAGGTGGATTGGCGATGCTAAATTGTCCAGGATGTGTAGACTAGGTCGATTAGCCGTGGGAAATACAGGATTAGCAGGATAGGAGAGGGGAGTGGGTCTGGGTGGCATGCTGTTCAGAGGGTTGGTGTAAACTCAGTGAGCCAAGTGAGCTGCTTCGGCACTGTCGGCATTCTGTGATAAGTCACCTCTTACTCTTTGAAACTCCAGTGGGTACAAGTCTAACCTGTGCAACCTCTCCTCAACCTCTCCACCCATTATAGGTATTAGGCTGGCAAACCTTCTCTGGACTCCTTCCACCTCATTTACATCCTTAAATAAGGAAACAAATAATACTGTACACACTAGATTCCCAGATCTGGTCTTATCAACTGCTTATATAAATTAAGTATCATGCTCCTCTAGTATTGAACTCCCCCTTGCAATAAACAATAATATTCTAAGATAACAAGGTGTGGAGCTGGAGGAACACAGCAGGCCAAGCAGCATCAGAGGAGCAGGAAAGCTGACATTTCGGGTCGGGACCCTTCTTCAGAAATAATATTCTACGAGCTTTCCTGATTACTTGCTGCAGTTGCATACTAATCCGTTACAATGTATGCATGAGTACACTCAGGTTCCTCTTCATCTCAGAGCTCCACAATCCCTCATCTTTTAGATTATATACTTCTTTTTCATTCTGTGCAGGGTTTTCAAATTCAAATCATTTAGAGACGGCATCAGTAATGAATGAAATAAGTTGCATTTCACACAACATCAGAGTATCCCGAAGGTCTTAACAGCTGGATAATTACTTCGGAAGTCCTGTTCCTCTTACTGGCAGGCAGTTTGTATGCAGCAAGGTCCCATATGGGCAGATGCTGATGTGCAGATAAATATTGACCAGGACACCAGGGAAAACGTTTCTGTTTCACTTCAAAGGGGATATTTTATAAGATAGCAGAAGGGACTTCGGTTTCAGAAACAGAAGTTGCTGGAAAAGCTGAGCAGATTTGGCAGTATCTGTGAAGAGAAATCAGAGTTAACATTTCGGTCCGGTGACTCTTCCTCAGAATTCATCAGACTTCAGTTTAACGGCTTATCTAAAGGAAATCTCTGGCACCTCACTATTGCACTGGAGAGCCAGTTAGATTTTGTATTACGGTTTCTGATAACATAAGTATATTGTTATTTATGACCTGGTGAGAAATATGTCAGCCATTGAAAAGTTTGGATTAATGCCTGTTTTTGTTGTGGTGTGTTATGCTGCTTTCTGATCTCTCCACTGTTGAGACACTAATTTCTTTCCTCTTTCCCTTTAGACTGACCTAACATTTGTTGGCTGTGTAGGGATGTTGGACCCACCGAGAAAGGAAGTTGTTGATTCCATACAGATGTGTGAGAAGGCTGGTATCCGTGTCATCATGATCACCGGTGACAACAAAGGCACTGCCGTTGCCATTTGCCGTCGGATTGGAATCTTCGGTGAGAATGAAGACGTGACTGAGAAAGCGTACACTGGCCGGGAGTTTGACGATCTGACACCAGAGCAGCAGCGGGAGGCCTGCCGCTCCACGCGTTGCTTTGCTCGTGTTGAGCCTGCACACAAGTCCAAGATTATCGAGTACCTTCAGTCCTTCGACGAGATCACAGCTATGGTGAGTCTGGGCTTTCGTGATCACTTCCCCAACAACTGGCTCCCCTCCTCACATTGATAACCAACCTCCTTCGGTAAAGCTGTTGGTCATTGCTCCTAACACTACCATATGTTCCTCAATGTCTGATTAATTTGCCTCGAGACTAAATGTTGAGCATGCAAGGATGTTATTAGCTGCAAATGTAAATCTTCAACTTGCTGAACAGGAATGAGTTAGCATGGCTATACAAAAGGGAAATCACATTTGACAAATTTGCTGGAATCTGTTTTTTGAGGCTGTAACTAATAGAGTTAAGGGGCAGCCAGTGGATGTGATTTATTTGGACTTTTAGAAGGCTTTCAATAAGGCTCCATGTAAGAGGTTAGCATTTTAAATGAAAACACTTGAGGCTGCAGGTAGTGTACTTTGATTGCAGAACTGGTTAGAAAACAGGAAGCAAAGATTCGGAATTAGTGGGTCTTTTACTGAGTGGCAGCCAGTAACTAGTGGGGTCCTGCAGGAATTGGTGCCAGGACCCCAGATATTCACAATATATTTATTCACTTGAGGAACCTGGGCATCATTGGCTGGGCCAGCGTTTGTTGCCCATCCCTAGTTGCCCTCAAGAAGGTGGTGGTGAGCTGCCTTCTTGAACCACTGCAGTCCATGTGCTGTGGGTTGACCCACAATGCCCTTAGGAAGGGAGTTCCAGGATTTTGACCCATTGATAGTGAAGCAACGGTGGTATATTTCCAAGTTAGGATGGCGAGTGGCTTGGAGGGGAACTTGAAGGTGGTGGTGTGTCCGTGTATACGCTACCCTTGTCCTTCTGGATGTTGAGGTTGCAGGTTTGGAAGGTGCTGGCTAAGGAGCCTCGGTGAGTTTCTGCAGTGCATCTTGTAGATGATATACACTGCTGCTATTGAGTGTCAGTGATGGAGGGATTGAATGGCATCACATCCACAAACAGTGAAACAGGCTCCTTTCTCCTGGATGGTGTCAGGCTTCTTGAGTGTTGTTGGGGCTGCACTCATGCAGGCGAGTGGGGAGTATTCCATCACGCTCGTGCCTGGACAGGCTTTGGGGAGACAGGAGGTGAGTCACTCGCTGCAGTATTCCTAGGCTCTGCTCTGCTCTTGCAGCCACTGGGTTTATGTGGAGGGTCCACTTCTAGACAGTGGTTAAATCCAGGCTGTTGATAGTGGGGGATTCAGTGGTGGTAATGACATTGAATATTAAGGCGCAGTGGTTAAATTGTCTATTATAGGAGATGGTCATTTCCTGGCATTTCTGTGGCGTACATGCTACTTAATTGTATTCATGACTTAGATGAGGAAACTAAATGTAATATCTCCAAGTCTGCAGGCAACACAAAGCTGGGTGGGAGGGTGAGCGGTGAGGAGGATGTGGAAATGCTTCAGTGAGTGGGGAAATGCATGGCAGATGCAGTACAGTGTGGATAACCTTAAGGTTTTAAACTTTGGCAGCAAAAGCAGGAAGGCAGGTTATTATCAGAGTGGTCGTAGATTGGGGAAGGGTGAGGCGCATTGAGACTTGGGTGCTATTGTACACCAGTCACTGAAAGTAAGAATGCAGATGCAGCAGGCAGTGAAGAAGGCAAATGGCTTTCATAGTCTGTGCAGGAGCGGGGATGTCTTGCTGCAATTGTACAGGGCCTTGGTGAGACCACACCTGGAGTACTGTGTGCAGTTTTATCTCCTTACCTGAGGAAGAATGTTTTATCTATGGAGGGAGTGCAGCGAAGGCTTACCAAACTGATTCCTGGGATGACAGTTTTGATATGTGAAGAGAGACTGGGGTAGTTATCACTCTAAGCACTGGCATTTAGAAGAATGGGGTTGGGGATTGCTTCACATGGAAGCCTATAACATTCTAACAGGACTAGACAGGGTAAATGCAGGAAAGATGTTAGATGCTAGAGACAGCGCGAGCTGTCTCTCAGTCAATGTAGTGTAGCCGCTGTTGATAAGGGAAACACAGCAGCCTGTAATTATCCCATAAACAGCAGCAAGACGAATGAACGGATAATCTGTTTTGATCATCATGTGAAGGTGCAAGTTGACCAGGATATAGATACAACTTGCCAGCTTTTCTCAACATCACGTTGAGATCTTTTGTGTTCACCTGAACAGGCAGGCTTGGTTTGGCCCAGTACCTGACTCCCCCAGTATCATCCTGGATTACCCATTTGAATCCTCCAGTTGGATGTAACAAATTAGAGGCAAGAGAGCTGCTAGATAACTAAGCCGGCTTTTAATTTGTGGAAATGTTGAAGTTTAAGTGCTTTTTGTTCACTTTTCCAAGAATATTCGATGATAACAAGTAGTCTTCTGGCAGTCACATAAAGACAGCGAGAGGGAAATGGAGATTCTGTTCTAATGGCTTTTCTCTTGATAGACTGGCGATGGTGTTAATGATGCTCCTGCTCTAAAGAAGGCAGAAATTGGGATCGCAATGGGCTCGGGCACTGCTGTGGCTAAGACAGCTGCGGAAATGGTGTTGTCTGATGACAATTTTGCCACCATAGTCTCCGCGGTTGAAGAAGGCCGAGCCATCTACAACAACATGAAGCAGTTTATCCGCTACCTAATCTCCTCCAATGTGGGTGAAGTTGTCTGGTAAGAAGCTTTCTGCATCAAGTGTGCTCTCAATGGGCACCTATCTGAGACTCTTTAGCTGCTACTAATACACCACATCACCTTGGCGTGCATATAGTCATCCTTCCTGCAGGTGATGCTGGCTGAGCCCCTCGTCTGGAATTCCAGAAATGTAAAGGTGAAAAATTTGTAAGGCTCCTGCCAATTTCAAGCTAGAGAAAGGGGTAGCAGACTGTAGCAGTTTAGCAGCGAGATGGTGTGCAGCCAACCTATGAAGGCCCTGATTCCAGTGATAAATTCTCTAAACACATTCTTCAGACCGAAGTGAATGTCTAGGCTTTGGGCCCCTTGAATAGGTTAATGACGGACTGAAAGTCTTTTTGTTTTCCCAACTGAGTTCCGAATGGGAAATTGATGTTTAAATATGCTGTTCACTCAGTGCCAAGTCTGGAAACTGAACCAATATATCTGTATAAGATAAGAATCTATGGTGTAGGGGCTAACATACCAGCAAGGATAAGGAATTGGTTAGCTACCAGGAAGGAGACAGTGGGGGTAAATGCATCATTTCAGGTTGGCGTGCTGTAACTAGTGGGGTGCACTGCAGTCATTGTAGGGGCCTCAATCATTTCCAATTCATGTAAATGACTTGGATAAAGCTGAATTTGTTCACAGTAGAGAGATCACAGAGGGATGCAGAGGTTCACTGAGTATATTCGAATCAGAGATCGATAAATCTCTAGATATTAATGATACCAAAGAAATGGAGACGGTGCAGGGGGAGTGGCATCGAGTTGGAAGATCACTCATGATGCTGTTAAATGGCTGGGTAAGCGGAAAGGACCGAATGGCCTATTCCTATTCCCCATATTCCTATCAGCAATAGGTCAGATGAGTGGGCAAATATTTGGCACGTAGAGTTTAACGTGGGAAAGTGTGCACTTGTCTGTTTTGGCAGCAAAAGTGTAAAAGCAGGAAACTCCTGAAATGGAAAGAGATTGCTGATCTTAGTACGTCAGTCACATCGAGTTATTCTTCAGGTATAGCAAGCGATTAGGGAGGGAAGTGGAATGTTGTTGTATATTACAAATCAAATGGAATGTAAGAAGTAAGGGAGTGTTTTACAGTGAAATTACAGGACTTTGGTAAGAAGACACCTGGAAAACTGTACATAATTTTGGACTCCATTTAAAAAAGGATGTAATTGCTTTAGGAGCAGTTCAAAGCAAGTTCACACCTTTCACTCTCAAGTTGAAGGGTTTATCTATGGAAGAAATGTTGACTGGGTCTGTATCTGTCGGGGTTTGGAAGAATGAGAGGCAATCTAACTGAAATATGTAAAATCCTAAGGAGACTGGATAGGGTGAATATTCCATCTTGTAGGGGAGACCTGGATGGGGGAGGGGGATGCAGTTTAAGAGGTTTGAAGGAGAGGAGAATTTTTTTTCTCTTGGAGGCCTGTTAGAAGGAGGAATTCTTTTTTCTGGGAAACAGAGAGGCCGGATCATTTAATACATTCAATGTGGAGTTGGATAGATGCTTGGAAAACACGAGAGACAATGGTCAAGGCAGACATGAAAGTGGAGTTGAGACCACAACCAGTTCAGTTATGATCTTGTTGAGTGGTGAAGCAGCTCCAAAGGGCCAAATGGCCTGCTGCTGCTCCAAAGCCCAATGTTCCTACCCCATAAGTGTACACATTCTAATCTGGTAAACAGGATCCAAAAAATTCAACCCATTAATTATTGGTTATATGGGGAAATATTACCTCGATTATCTCCCCCCTCCCCCGAACCCTGTCTCACTGATCCATTGTGTGTTCTGCAGACTCAGATTGATTTCTATCCCAATACTGAGGCTCTGCAAAGAACCTAACGTCAATGTGAATAGCCGGGCAACAAAGCTTGATGTTCGTGGGTATGTGCTTGTGATTGGCATTTACCCAGGGTCAGCTGTCACCAACTTGCATGCAAGTTTAATAAACGGGTGTTCATCCAAGATGCGCTGCCCTTCACACCCATGTGTTGGCATGTCTGGTCAGGCCGCTATGGAAATGCAGAGTTAAGTAGAAGTGTTGAGTTGGACAGTTTGAGAGAACCACAGCCCAAGATGCTGTTTGTATAGCCTGTGGTGACTGTCTGTTTGTTCTGGGGACAGGCTGTCTCTGTGAAACGGTTTGCACTTACTGTAAACATCTTTGATTTAAATCAATATGTTCTCTTGAGTTTAAGTTCTAATTGTTTCTGTTTCTTTTGCATTTAGCATTTTCCTCACTGCTATTCTGGGCTTGCCCGAGGCCTTGATTCCTGTCCAGTTGCTCTGGGTTAACTTGGTAACAGATGGCCTGCCTGCCACAGCACTGGGCTTCAATCCTCCCGACCTGGAGATCATGAACAAACCACCTCGTAATCCCAAAGAGTCCCTCATTAGTGGGTGGCTATTCTTCCGCTACATTGCTATTGGAGGTGAGGCTGTTCCACCGAAACAGCATCCACTGTTCTTGACTTTGCGATCAAATTCATTACAGAGCTTGAGGCTTTTTCAGTCTTGACTGTCATCTCCTGTGATATCCCTTGACAAGGTTATGTTCCAAAGTTTCCAGTTACCAGGACTCAAAACCAAGTCCTCATAACAGGAAGATGTTCGGTCATCAAACCTGTTGATCTCAACACTTCCTCCTTTTTTTTTTAAAGAAGGATGTTAAGTTTTCAGGAAGGGTCACTCAACCTGAAACGTTAACTCTGATTTCTCTCGACAGATTCTGCCCGACCTGCTCAGCTTTCCCAGCAGTTTCTGTTTTTGTTTCTGATTTCCAGTGTCAGCAGTTCTTTCGGTTTTTACTTTTAACTTCTTGTCCGGAAGTTGTTGTCTGCCCATTGATCCTTCTGGGGGGAAATGAAAGCTCAGCAGTGGGAGGAGAGAGCAATCGGAGAGTATCTACTCGAGCTGATCTTGAACAACCATTTATGAGATAGATCTACTGCAGGCTTCACTCCTCCAGACAGACGGACGGGCCTCTGTGTCAGGGCCGGTTTCAGGAATGGATTCCAAACTTTCTATGTTCGGGAAGAGGGTTAGAAACTGGCCAACTGAAGTAGGGTGTGAAGCACTGTGCCTCTCGCACGAGAGGGATCTCACCGTATGTAACAACTCATCCCCCACCCCACCCAAATGCATTTGGATCTGGCTGAGCCTCTCGCCTTTATTGGGCTGCATACTTACTGAGGATCTGGAGATAATCTTCATACGTTTCCTGTCTTGTCAACAATTTGCATGTGTCAAGTTACTGGTGCTAACAGATCCCATGTTCTGTTCAGGCTGAGGGTTTGTGCGCCAACGAGGCTAAGAGCAGCTCTTTGCAAACCTCCAGGTCCACAAACGATGTAAAAACCAAAAGAACTGTGGATGCTGTAAATCAGGAACAAAAACAGAAGTTACTGGAAAAGCTCAGCAGGTCTGAGAGCATCTGTGAAGAATGATGTATTTTGGTTTGAATGAGGAAAGACTGTTATAAAAATAAAAGGTGCCATCTAGAAAGGGGTGCAGAAATAAAACCTGAGTGTGCTGGAGAAACTCAGCCGGTCTAGCAGCAGCTGTGAAGAGAGAAACAGAGTTCACGTTTCAAGTCCGACATGACTTCCCTTTAGAAACGGTGACACCCGGAGGTGAAGGTGCACATACCTTTTGAAGTCGGCAAAACTGTTTGTAAAAGGCGTTGGAATCCGGGACTTTATATTTTAAAAAATGGCAGAGAACAAAAGCAAGAAAGGTGTTTCAAATCTCTCTAAATCCAGGCTGGTCTTAAGCTTGAATATTGTGACTAAATCTTGTCAGCTCATGTCAGAAGGACTGTCAAAGCCTTGGAAAAGATACTCCAGGAAAGTTACTGGAACAGTAACAGGTATAAGAGAACTCAATTATATACCGAAAGTAAAGCCGCAATTTTTCTGCTTAGAGTGGAAAATATGAGGGAGATTTAACAAAAGGGGTTCAAATGTGAGGGTGTTTGGTAAAGTAAACAAGATGAATCTGTTTCTACTGATGGGAGGGTTAGGAAGCAGAAATTTCAAAATAAATTGTCAAAGGAACCAGGATAAAGTTTAAAATTAATTATGATCTGGAATAAACTGCCAGACAGGATAGTGGAAGAAAATTCAGTTGTAGTTGTTAGAAAACAATTGTTGATATTCATTAAAGCCAGGAAGATAGGAAGGAGTCAGGGAGTGGGCCTAATTGGATAGATTTGTCAAAAAGCCAATGCAGGCACAAAATGCTGACCAGTGTTCTATGACGCTAATTTTAAATTTCAACAGAAGAAGCCAGCTGCCCCACTGCATTTGGTTCAGAGATTTTTCGGGTCAGACACTCCTGTTTGACCGGAAAAGAAGTAACAGTACACCCCGCGGGCATTCACTTGATCAGGCTGATGCTTAACCTCCCCTACTGTCTCTCGCTGGTCTCTTTCAGTTTATGTCGGCTTGGCAACAGTTGGAGCAGCCACCTGGTGGTTCATGTATGATGAAGATGGTCCACAGGTCACCTTCAATCAACTGGTAACAGAGCTTCAGTAAAACCCTTTGTGAAAGGAGGGAGAGAGTGGGAGTGTGTTACAATCCAGTAATAGACCATTTGAAGGGATACCTTAAGACAGTAGCTGTTCTATCGAGGTTGAAGTGTTAATCATTAGGTTGCAATTGGTATCTGTTGGAAAGTCTGATCGATTTTCATCATATTCTTTGTGTTGATCCAGCAACTTACTCTGAACTGGAAAAGAACAAACTGTTAGAAGTTTCATTTGATACTAATCCTGGTCTGGGCTCTGTTTATTTGTGGAAAAGCACAGTTGCTGTGTTTTTTTAAGAAGTACTTCATTGTGCAGTGAACTCCATGTTGTGACAGCGTGCTATGAAAACCCAAATATTTATTTTTCCAATGGGAGTCTGAGCTAATTATCAAGCTGACCTGAGAACCATAAAATTCAGAATTTCATATTCTCTGTATCACATGTAACCACACTGTTTGGGATACTCAGTGAATGCCATGAAAATGCTCTGTAAATTGCAAGGGCTGATCTATATCTCAACTCCTGTCATCCACCATTGTCCTATATCCCTTAATACCCTTCCTTAAAATCTCCGTCTGAAAAGCTCCAATTATTAACATTTCAGGGTCAAAGACTGAACTGTTTAGTCCTTGACCTTCAGTTTATCTCTATTCAATTAGAGTCAGTTGTGGGTAAGTTGTTGGAGGGGATTCTGAGGGACTGGATCTAGATGCATTTGGAAAGGCAAGGACCAATTAGGGATAGTCAGCATGGCTTTGCGCATGAGAAATAGTGTCTCACTAATTTAATTTAGTTTTTTGAAGAGGTGACAGAGAAGATTGATGAAGGCAGAGCAGTAGATGTTGGTTATATCAAATTCAGCAAGGCGTTTGACAAGGTTTCACATGGTAGACTAGTTAGCAAAGTTAGATCACATGGGATCCAGGGGGAGCTAGGCATTTGGATAGAAAATTGACTTGAAGATAGGAGGGTGGTGGTAAAGCGTTGTTTCTCGGACTGGAGGCCTGTGACCAGCGGTGTGCCGCAAGGATCAGTGATAGATTCACTGCTTTTTGTCATTTATGTAAGCGATTTGGATGTGAGTATACGAGGTATGGTTAGTAAGTTTGCAGATGATACCAAAATTGGAGGTGTAGTGGATGGCGAAGAAGGTTACCTCAGAGTACAACGGGACCTTGGTCAGATGGGCCAATGGGCTGAGGAGTGGCAGATGGAGTTTAATTGGAATAAATGTGAGGTGCTGCATTTTGGTGGGGCAAACCAGGGCAGGGCTTATACAGTTAATGGTAGTCCCCTAGGGAGTGTTGCCAAACAGAGACCAAAGGGGTGCCACTGCATTGTTCCTTGAAGGTGGAGTCACATGTAGATAGGGTGATGAAGATAGCATTCGGTATGCTTGCCTTTATTGTTTAGTGTATTGAGTATAGGAGTTGGGAGGTCATGTTGCGACTGTACAGGACATTGGTTAGGCCACTTTTAGAATACTGCATTCAATTCTGGTCCCCTTGCTATAGGAAAGATGTTGTTAAACTTGAAAGGGTTCAGAAAAGATTTACGAGGATGTTGCTGGGATTGGAGGGTTTGAGCTATAGGGAGAGGCTGAATGGGTGGGGCTATTTTCCCTGGAGCATTGGAGACCTTATAGAAGTTTATAAAATCATGAGGTGCGTAGATAGGGTGACTAGCTAAGGTCTTTTCTCCAGAGTAGGGGAGTTCAAAACTAGAGAGCATAGGTTTAAAGTGAGAGGGGCAAGGTTTAAAAGGGACCTGAGGGGCAACTTTTTCATGCAGAGGGTGGTGTGTGTATGGAATAAGCTGCTAGAGGAAGTGGTGGAGGCTGGTAAAATTACAACATTTAAAAGGCATCCGGATGGGTACATGAATAGGAAGGATTTAGAGAGATAAGGACCAAATGCTGGCAAATGAGCTAGGTCAGATTGGGATATCCGGTCAGCATGGATGAGTTGGACCGAATGGTCTGTTTCCATGATGCATAATTGTATGATTCCATTTGGCTGATCTTCATTTCAACTTCCTTCATTCACCTTTTCATCCATATCTCATGATGCCTTTATTGGAGAGAAATCTATCTGCTTCCATTTGAAAACTTTCAACTGATCCCTGACATCCACGGCTTTTGGGGAAGAGTTTCAAATTTCCACTGGTCATTGCAGGACAAATAGTTCCTGTGTTCGTCTCTGAACTGCGTCGCTCTAGTTTTAAGGTTATGTCCCTTTGTAGTAGACTACCCACCAGAGGAAATACTATGTCTCTGTCTAACCTGTCAACACCTTTAAGCTTTAATTTAGATTAACCCTTAAGCTGCCATAGTTAAGAGAAAACAAGCCACATTTATGAATCCTGCCCGCACAACTTAACCAACTAACATCATGGTGAATCTGCATTCCTTGCCTCCAAGGCCAGTATATCCCCCCTGTGCAAAATTGAATATGATGCTTGAGCTGGAATCTTGGCAAAGCTCTGTATAACTGAATCATTACTTCCTCACCTTTTTAAACTATCCCTCTTAAGTTAATAGTGACCATTCCTTTGGCCCTTTTAATAATAGTACCTTTGTTGCTGGTATTTATGAACGCAAACAAGGAGCAGGGTTAAGGCACATTTCTGATCAAGCCTGCTCTGCCATTGGTAACCTAAACACCACTGTCCTGCCTCCCCCTAATAACCTTTCATCCCTTTGCTTATCAACAATCCATTCACTTCTGCCTTAAACACATTCAAGAACTCTGGTTTTACCACCTTTTTAGGAAGAGAGTTCCAAAGACTCATGATCCTCTGAGGGGAAAAAAACCTTTGACTTGTGTCTATTTTAAATGAGTGACCCCTTAGTTTTAAACAGTGACCCATAGTTTTACATTCTCCCGATAAGGAAACATCCTTTCACATTCACTCTGTCCATCTCAGTATCTCATATGTTTCAATAAAGTTCAGTGGACACTTGTCCAACATTTCCACACGACAAGCTGCCACTTTTCATGTATTAAACAAGTAAACTTTCTTTGAGACAGAATCAGAATTTGTTGGAGAATCTCAGCAGGTCTGGCAGCATCTGTGGAGAGAAAGCAAAGTTGATCATTTGGAGTCCAGTTTTGAAGGAGAGTCACCGGACTTGAAACATTAATTCTGTTTTCCCTTCCTGGATGCTCCCAGTCCTGCTGAGCTTTTCCAGCAATTTGTTTTGCCATGGGAATGTTGACCCCTTATTTCAAGGGGGTTGGAGTATAAGAGTAGGGAAGCCTTACTGCAAGGAGACATAACAGAAAGGGAGCTGCAGATACAAGAGAAGCATTGAGGGTTAAATAGAGCACTCAACCAAAGGAGCAAATATCAACTGTGGCTTGTTTGGTAGCATACTTGCCTCTGAGTCAGAAAGTTGTAGGTTAAAGTGCCGCTCCAGGGAGCTGAGCGCAAGAGGCTGGGCACTAAGGGAGTTGTTGCACTGTCCTGGGGGCCATCTGAAAGCTGAGGCATTAAACCGTCTGCTACTCGGGTGGGTGGGGGATAGTATTGAAAGGGAAATATACCAGTGCCTTGCCAATACTTATCACTTGACCAACACCAACAGAAAAGATTATTTGGTCACGCTGCGGCCTGTGGGAGTTTCCTACATGATAACGGTGACTACATTTTGAATGTGCTTCCAAAGCACAATATAAAGTAAGTCTTTCCCTTTGTGTCTGTGATTTCCTGTCCTGTGTTCTTGCTCCCTTTACCTGCCTCCTTCATCCACAATGGGATCCTTTGCATCCACCTGAGGAAGCAGATGGGTCCTTGACTTAATCCGAAGGCAGTGTCTTTGACTGAGCAGCAGCTGGGATAGTTATTATACTAAAATCCCTGGTTTGAGAGTTGACTGTAACCTCCTTATGCTAAGGTAAGAGTACTACCTACTAAAGCAAGCATTGTAAACAGGGTGAGCCGCAATCCACATAGATACTGAGAGCTGATGGAGACACGTGATCTTAATGTAGTTAATCTCTATCTCTCTCTCTGTACTCTCCCAGCGGCATTTCATGCAATGTACACCAGACCACCCACTTTACCAAGACATCGAGTGTAAAATCTTTGAGTCTCGCTACCCTACAACAATGGCATTGTCTGTCCTGGTGACCATTGAAATGTGCAACGCACTAAACAGGTGAGTGTGACCTCCAAGGCACCCCGAAGGCTATAGCCCAGTGTCAGTCTCTGCACCAGCTCCTTTATTTAACAGTGTCAGAGCCGATGCCAGCCTGCATGACAAACTCCAGTTACAGGAGGAGCTCTCACTGACATTGCCCCTCTCTTTACAACATTCCATTACCTCGGTTAGTGGTGGAGGTGGAAATCCAGAAAGGAGGACAGATCTGGTTTGCAACAGGATGCCTGTATTCAGACTTCTTTCTTGTTGTATCTCCCAGAGTCCAATCCTGACTCTGGAGTTTATATTTTGCTCTGAAATTTTTGAATTGAATCACTAGTGAGTCATTTTACAGGATCCTTATTTAAAGATGCAGAATGTATTATTCAGTTACTTTTGCAACGAAGTTTGACAACTTATATTTTGCATCAGACAACAGTAGAAGCCAAAAAAAACTGAAATGAAAAGTCTAGTGATGACAGTGAATCCATTGTTGATTGTTAGGAAAAAAACATCTGGTTCACTAATGTCTTTTAGGGATGGAAACTGCCATCCTTACCTGGACTGTATGTGATCCAGACCCATTGCAATGTGGTTGACTCTTAACTGCCCTCTGAGATGGGCAATAAATGCTGGCCTAGGCAGTGACCCCTTCAACCCGTAAATGAATTTTTAAAAAATTACTGAGGACAGTGTGTCTATCTGCTGGGGAGGTATACTGTATGTCTGCTCAGAGTTTGACAGTGAGAGATGCTCCCTACATTCTGTGTTACCCCTACCACCCTGTGCTCTGACAACCCTCTTCCTCCCAATTCTGTCTGGCACCCCTCCTCCACTCCATCTGACACCTGCCCATCACCCCTTCCCCTAAGCATTAACCCATGCCCCCATACACTGACCCATGCCCTCACACTGTAACCCCCTCCCGCATTCAGTGATACCTCCTTCACCTCCCTGGTGTACAGACTGTGATAGTAATAGGAGCAAAAACAGAAGTTGCTGGAAAAGCTCAGCAGGTCTGGCAGCATCTGTGAAGAAAATGTCAGAGTTAACGTTTCAGAGTCCAAGGGTCACTGGACCAGAAACATTAACTCTGATTTTCTCTTCAGAGATGCCGCCAGCCCTGCCGAGCTTTTCCAGCAACTTCTGTTTTTGTTCCTGATTTACAGCATCCGCAGTTCTTTCGGTTTTTATTTTGGGATAGTAATAGGTTTATTTCTTGTGGTCAGGGGCAGTTGAGCTGCTGGTTTGTGGTAATACTCTTTTTCTCCTGGTCCCCTACCTTTTAATGATCATCACCTTTATTCAAATTCACTCAAATCTAATACACGGCCTCATCTGAAAGGGAAACGACCCGTTCACTTTCCTGCACCTGGACGCACATGTATCTAACAACATTGAAATCTACTTCACTGCCACCTATTTGGACCCTCCCCATCTCTAACTGCCTGCTCACCAGGTAAAAAATCTCCTCCAAATTAACATTTAGGATGACATCTATGCCCTACTTCTCTACATGACACGCACGTGCACATGCACAAACACAAACCTAACACCATAGTTCTCAATGTAGAAATTGTCGAACCAGACCATCTGCAATGTCCGTGTCATGATATGTGCTGCCCCCTCCCCACCCCTGCCCAAGCTGAGTTTCCGATCACAATCCATACCATCACTAAGACCAGCTGTCTCCACTTCGAGGAAGTAGCTCAACTCCATCTCTACCTTAGCTCATCTGCTGCTGAAACCCTCATTCAGTCATTGGGATAACCAAGCCTATCGGTAACAATGTGTTTCACTCACCTTTACCCACTGAAATCTGGCCATGTTCAAACTTGCACTGAATTCTTTTCACTCATCACCCCAGCGCTCACTGACCTACCTTAACACCTGGTCCAACAAGACCTCACTTCTAGAATCGTCATCCTAGTTTAAAAGCACCCCAGGTCTCACTCCTCCCTATCTCTATCATCTCCTCCAGCCCCTAAACCCTTTCCAATATCTGTGCACCTCAACCTGGATTTTTATCCAAATCCAATTATAATCGCTCAACTGTTGGTACAGCTGCTGAGGCCCCAAGCTCTGGAATTCCCTCCCTATACCTCCCAAGGTCATTTTTCTCCTTTAAGACGCTCCTCAAAACCTCCCTTTTTCAGCAGGTTTTTTTTAGCCCCTGACCTATTATCTCCTTATGTGGCTTGGTGTCTCATTTTGTTATGTTGTGCCCCTATGATGTACCTTGTGAGATTTTAGTGTGTTAAATGGCTTGTATGAGTGCAAATTGGTGTACTTCGCCTTCATCAATAGTTGATCTATAGTCTACAAGTGGCCCTGAATTCACCAAGCATCTTGTACTTCGCTGTTGTTGGTCAACCAGCAGATCCAAGCCAAGAATTCTTGGTATTTGTCTGCATTCAATTGATCGGTTACATCATAAAAGAGTAATAAAATGCATTATGAAATGGACCCTTTGGCCTACAAGCTGTCTTATTAAAAACAGAATTGGAACACAATTATTGTGACAGTATCTATTTTAATGATTCATGCGTTTTAGGTTGGAGATTGAAGTGTTACACATCAGATAAATGGGGACAAAAAATATTTGAGAGGTCAGTAAACAAACCTAAAGCGTTTGGAATTTAAACGATAGCCTGTCTTTAAGGATAGAGTTAAAAGTAGGAAAATAATTGATAGCTCATTTTTGAGTTCTTTGCTGGAGATGAGATGTATGCAGTCATTCTCAAGGGCTTGAGGTTATTCCTATAATTGTCCATACCACAGAAAAATTGTAAAGGAACTGATTAGAGAAATTTTATAAAGTGTCCATATACTTTTCAGATCAAAGGACAGATTTTGGAATTCAACATGGTTGATTTAACTCTCTCTCCCAGACATGTGATAATGCCATGGGGATAGGTTGCACCAAACTACCCTTTGCTTTGGGTCTATATATGAGTGGTTTCACAGAATACTGACAGTTTATTCCTGGAGCTGAAATAGCTTGCAAGCAGGCAGACAGAGAAAGCTGCCAGGAGCTGTAGACCACTAATCAAGAAAGCAGAGAGAGTCAGTGCTTTAGCTGGAGTGTGCACACATGGGCTACCTAAGGAGAATTGGGAGTCACCTGGCCAAATGCTAGTGAAAGGACCCTGAGAGCTCTCAACTCAGAATAGCAGAAACACTGGAAAGAATCAAAGTAAATTCCTGAGAGATGTGGCACACCTTCGTTAGTCCTGGTAGAGGGGAAGAAGCCTTCAGGATTCTGGAAATTATACAGGCACACTAGGAGGAAATAACAAAAAGTTGAAGTGTGCTGTTGAGATTTTTTTTGAGGTATGCTGAATGTGTTTTGACAAAATCTAGTGGTAAGTTGTTTTGTTTAATTCCTATAATTGAAAATATTTTGCTTAACACCTTAAGGTACAGTTCTTTCAGTTAGGCATGGGCAATAGCAAAGGTGTGCCAGGTTGGTGGATTAGATATTGAATGGCCACACAAAGTTCACCATTGTTTCTGTCATAACAGCTTATATTCATAATAGAACCTTTAACATAAACAAAATCCCAGAGGTATGAGAGCAGACAAGCATATTGGTTGTCTGACAAACATAACAGGCCAGCATTTAGCATTAAATATCAAGACAGCACAGGGTCTTACTGAATTTAGTCTACTCCATTGACTTGACCATAGCCAGTTTGATGGTTAAACCCGTTCATTTTGTTCTCTTTGCCTTTTGAAGCTTCTTTATGGTTTGATTTGCTCTTTCTTCCTGCAGCCTGTCTGAAAACCAGTCACTGTTGAGAATGCCTCCATGGGTGAATATCTGGTTGCTGGGGGCCATCTGCATCTCCATGTCACTGCATTTCCTGATTCTGTATGTGGAGCCGTTGCCTGTGAGTATGGATATGGATGCAGATATGATTAAGGATATGGATATGCGATTGGGTGTAATGACTTAACAGATGGGAGGGAGCTGGCCAGAATGTTCCGGTTGACTGCGGTCTATGTCCCAGTGCCATGATATCTTTCTCTGTGCCTGTCTCTTGGTGCCAGTCTCTATATTTTAACTGGAAGGCCCATCTCGGGTTAAAATGCATCTCTGCGAGTAGGGCTGTGTGTCTCTCTTAGGATGGTGATTCTCCAATAAGAGATGTACACATCTCCCAGGGATCTGCATACAGAAAACAATTAAACCAATTAGATTTTGGGTAGACCATGGATAAAAGTCAGGCATTTTTGCTTCAGGTCATGCAGACCTGATTCAGAACCATTTTAAAGCTGTATATTCAATCTTTGGGGAGGTGATGGCCTAGTGGTATTATCTGCTAATCCAGAGGCCTGGGTAATGTTCTGGGGATCCGGGTTTGAATCCCACTGTGACAGATGGTGGATTTTGAATTCAATAAAAATCTGGAACCAAGCTCTAATGATGACCATGAATCCATTGTCAATTGTTAGAAAAACCCATCTGGTTCACTAATGTCCTTGAGGGAAGGAAACTGCCATCCTTACCCTGGTCTGTCCGACATGTGACTCCAGACCCACAGCAATGTGGTTGACTCCCTTTGGGCAATTAGGCATGGGCAATAAATGCTGCCTAGCCAGTGATGCCCACATCCCATGCATGAATAAAAAAAAATTATGTAAATTCCTATGTCTGTGGTTATGATGGAAACTGCATGTGTAAACTTGTCATGATGTAATACACTCTTCTGCCAGCGAAGGGACTGTACCATCTTCACTAGCGAAAGGGTGTAACGCCAATGTGATGCATGTATACACTCAGTTCCCATTAGGACTTGGATATGGGAATTTATAATGGAAACAGCTGACAGGAAGTCTCTGCAGCCGTTAGATCTTATTCTGGGTCAATGTTGTCCATTCAAAATAATTGAACACCACAAGTGTTGCTACAGCGACACTTTTAGAATCCTGTCCTATTGTCTGTAGAAAACACCTCGCAGACAACACAGGTAAACGTACTTTTACACATGGACGTTTGCTGAACAAACGTCTCCATTCAGTAACCAAGGAAGCAAAACATTCCAAACTATACACACACGTGCATGCACACGTGTGCGCGCGCACACACACGTAAGCGTGCACACTTCCATTTCAGCATATTACTAACCAGGTTTACAATCACCTGTAAGGTGCAAATGTGTACTGAGGTTACATGACCATTGACTGTGGTTATCGGCTATTTTAATTACATTTCTGATTAGTTATGATATCAACGTGTTACATTAGGCTGTTCTCTTTGTTAATTTGTGGGATGTGAGCATCACTAACAAGGCAGGCATTTATTGCTTATTCCTACGTGCCTTTAGCTATCTGACTTATTGTCCACTTCACAGAGCAGTTGATAAATGGCCAAAGCTTAAAGCCAGAAGTTGTTAACGAATATCTGCTGGTTGTGCTTCCATGATGACTTTGTGACATTGTCCTCTTTCTCACTTAACAGCTGATTTTCCAGGTGACTGCTCTGAACTGGCCTCAGTGGGTCGTGGTCCTGAAGATTTCACTGCCCGTCATCCTGCTGGACGAATCACTCAAATACATGTCCCGCAACTACATTGAGGGTAAAGACCCTGTTGTAGTTTGTCAGACCAATAGTGGGCTTCCAGCATGCTTTGGGGACATTTCTTGGCTCTTCGTCCTAGTCTCCGCCCCTCTCATTTGCTGGCTTTACTGTCTGCTCTAACCTCCAAGGACTGCTGCAGTGCTGACCAGAAGGAACTGGTTTCTTGATGCCAGCTTGCTTTTTTCTCTCGTGGGACTTGGTTATATTCTATGTCTGTCCTAAGAGGATGCCTTGGGTCCTATTGAATGCGCTTATGTCTGTGGGACTGTGCGGCCAGGAGGAGAGGGCATTCATGGCAATTTCCAAACCCTGGATTAGCTGCAGGGCTTATTTGAGTGCTACTTCACTATTGTGTCCATTCATTCATAGATATACTGAATAGTTCATTGCAATTAGTCAATGCAATCCTCTTCCGTCCCAAATCTGACTCAACAAGTCCAAAAGTTAGCCAATTGGAGAGAAATGACTCTGGTGATGCTTCGGGAACTGAAAGAGAAGGCCTAAGAGGTTTGGAATAAGTGGTAAATTGGTTGACTTGTCACTAGCTATTGTGTTAATCTAACCCAGCAAGCCGACAACTCCTGAATCGGATGTGGAGCTTGGTTCCTGAAGGAACAGTGCCCAGCTGACTAACTCATCACTGGCAGCGTGGCAAATTTCATTGCCATGAGCCAGCCAGTGCAAATTAAGGGATGGATATTTTTTGGGTTCAAAATCATTAACAATCTTTTGTTTTTAGTTGGGAGGGAAAAAAGAAAATTGCAAAAGAACAATCAATAGAACCAGCAATAAAAATGCAACCAAATTCATAATCATGATACCCATCTACTTTGTGGGTGAGCAACTCTTTGAAGAACAATGTGTTAAACTGTCCCGGTCTAAGAACATTAATCAGTAAAAGGTCACTGGTGAATAGCTTAATCATTTGGCCCTAATTTTTTTGAGATGAGTAAGTTCTCTTTATGTTTGAACCACTGATGGGATAACCGCTGTGTGCATATTGCATGAAGCCCCAGTGTGAGGACCAGGCTGGAGGTACAGCTGTCACTCCTGAGGTATTGTGTCGGAGTGGCACTCACTCTGCTTCCCAATGGGGTGAAAGCACCACAAGAAGTGATAGCAGTTATCTGTCCTTTACCTGATTGCACCGTACATGCCTCTCAAAATCAAATTGATCTCCCGGACACAGCTCACAAATTCTGCAGCATCCTCGGCAATATTTATATGGGTGGGTGGGCAGTCCTATTTGTTCCATCACATCACCCACCCCCGCCACCGCGAGTTTAGTCCCAGCCCTTCCAGCCTGGCTTCCTGTCAGCTGCCAGGAAGCACGTGAATGATTTTGCCTGGCAGCGTTACTCCCATGAATGGATTGCCAGGAGCTGGCCTGCTGTGAGGTATGGAGTAGACCTGCCTTGCCAGGTCTGCTGTCAATGATCAAGGAATTCTGTTAAAGGGCTCAGCATTCAACCCTGGCATTTTGATATTTACAGCTACTCTGCTTTCTGGTGTATTTTCTTTTTGCCTGTAAACTGTCAGCCCAGTGTCAGGTGAGGTCCAGCCTTTTGCATGGGTCACAGGCAGGATTCGAAGCCTCGGGGCTGGTGGAGCCCAGAGAAGGCAACACCAAATGAAAGAGGGAAAACGAAAGCCTGGGAGGAGCTGTCCTGCACATTGACCCAAAGTCCCACATATTCAACCTGACTCTGATTCCAAGGTACAGCTTTCAGTCAGTAGATTTGAGAGCAGCTGATGTAAGGGGTCAAACCCTCTGCACGCACCTTGTGAACCCTATTACGGTTTGTTTAGTTCTGAATTCTCATCTCCAATGTTAGCCCTTTGTCTGTTTACAGCAGCTTCCTGTTTAATTGCAGTCTTGTCAGTACCATCAGGGGCCGGCACTTCCAGCGGAAGTTTCTAGAATGTGAATTTAGTGACAGCCCATACTCATGTTTCTCCACCTTCCCCCGCACCCCCCCCCCCCCCCCCACCCCACCCATCTATGGAAAGCCAGCTTGCAACCCTCGAGTAGCACAACTATCTGATACCAGTCATCATGGGATGGACCAGAGAATTTTGCCACCTTTGTGTAAAGAGACAAAGTTGTTGTTTATGGCCTGTCAAGCTCATTAGTTGTACCTGTCAGTGGTCAAAGATCTGGAAAACAGCTTTACAGTAACTTAAAAAAAACCCTGTTAACAGACACCACAGTGTGCTCATTCAGATCATCAAATAGCCAGAGAACAATTGCTGCCTCTTCAAATGACATTTTTCACAGTCCCATGCTGAGGAGAGTCATAGTGACTGTCCTGAAAGAGCTCAGTGGTTGAGGCAGGTGGGGAGAGATTGTCTTGAGAAACCTCAGTACTGGCCTAAGCCAGAAAAGAATAAAAGTATCTGCAATGATATCTGCCCAGTGCTCATAACCCAGCCCATGGAGACTTGAAGCTGCAGTATTAGGTGTGACTGATGTGGGAGTCAGTGAGACAATGAAGGGAATGCTAAAATACCTTGTGATGAATGAATGATGGAAGTCCGTCAGAGGATGTCTGGTTGGCAATCGAGCCCTCCCTATTTTCACAATAGGGGAGAAGATGAGTGTGTTTAGAGTGAAACCACGGTTACTCTTATGTGGAAATTATGGACAGTTTTGGAATCTTCTTTGGTGCCAGTGGCATGATACACAATGGCCTCTGTGCTGGAGATGTACTCATTTTAATTTTCTGACTGATGACTGATTAACAAATAACTATCTAACCTTGATGTGAATGAGTAGTGAATTGTGAAACTGTACTAACTAATAGGGCAGCTGTTGTTTAATTCAGAATCTTGCTTAAAAATTGTGAAAATGGAAAGTGGAATAAACAAAAATCCAGTTGATGGATTGAAGATTTTGAAGCTTTGTGAATAGTGAGAGATGTTTTTAAAGATTTAAATTAATGTGTGAGCATCCTTCCTGGTCTTGCGACAAGAGGTCGTTTTTCTGTTTCCTCAGACATCGCCTGACCTGCAATATGTTGTTATAGATAGAAGGTGTTTTCAATACAGGTACTTGCTGCACTTTGCTCTTTCCTCTGGTGTTCCAGACCCAACCCCTTAGATGTTTCCAGAAACCTACACTCGAATTCTGGCTGCACAATCCAGGAAGTAAGGGTTGAAGGGGAACCTTGTTTATGTTATTAATTGCCTCCCTGAATGTTTTGAAAACACAATTCTGCATATTTAAACCCTAATGGCAGGTCATGAGTAGTACACTTTGGACAGAACTTTGTATCAAGTTCTTAGCAAGGGTGAGAGTGTGAAGGGCAAGGTTAAGTGGAGCCTGTTCCTATTCAGCATTAGGGATTTAGTCCATCATTGGGGATTTCTGCCTTGGAAGCTAGATTATGTATGAGTGTGAGCTATCAGTAAAGGCTTAGGTCTCCATGGTGTTATGGGTAAGTGTGCTAGTGTGGTACAATGTGCAGTGTGTGTCTCAGGTTTGTCCAAATGTTCTTGCATGTTAGGACAAGGTGAAAGCCCAGGACATCCATACAGGATAGAGAGATAGAGGGACAGAGCAAAGCAAGTTAAAAACACCAGGAGAAAATGCCCTTCGGAGAACCCCAGGAGCATTTGCACATGATGATGTTCGTTTCCAGAGATCACGGTTACTTGACTCGCAGTTTCTCTTTAACATCCCAGCAAAGTAGGACACAGTAGCATTATGTTGAAACTAGAAACAGAGTAAAACAAGGAAATGTGCCAGGTCCACCACGGGAGGAAGCTGCCTCACTATGGAATATGGCTGTAGTTAGTATATGTAATGTTTATATTGTCCTCCAGGCAGCAATAAGGCAGCCCAGCCCCAACTGGATACCCAGTGAGCACAGCCAGGTGTCCGTCCAGGTTTTGATGAATCTTTGTACTGGATATCCCTTGCCAAACTGAGTCCCAGCAAATTCTGCCTGATCTATTGTGCAGACTCACTACTGTTTGCAGAATTTGAGGCTTTAAAGCTGCCCCATCTGTAAAGTAATGATGACTTTATGTTCCAATTGTCTGTGCTCCTTGATTATGTCACTTTTCAGTGACAGATTAGCCCCTGTCAGGAGAGGCCGGCTTGTGACCTTTGCTCTGACTTCAGAAGAATCCTAGCGATCCCCATTCTGAGCTGGTCCTTGATTTCTGCCATAATGCTACTCCTGCTGAGGGCTGGGCCTTTGGGCAAACCACTGTTTTATTTTCTTTCTAATTTATTCATTCACTGGATGTGGGCATTGATGACTAAGCCAGTATTTATTGCACATTCTGTATTGCCCTTGATTATTGGGAAGGGAGAGTTACGGGGATGG